TGACTTTCTTTATAAAATATTTAATTTGAAAAATATAATTTATGCCAAAAAGTATACCTTGTAATTTTGCCACTAAACAGGTTGATTAGCACAAAATGTGAAGTTTTGGGGCAGAGGAGGTTGGGGGTAAAAATTTTTCATACATAACAGTTGAAAAATGTTCCATTACTGGCCTGTCAGAAACCCTAAAGCTGCATTGTAAAACAAATAGTGTAAATTAGTTTTGAAAAGTGGTAAGGGATTGTGAAAAAAATCTCAGATTACTGCTCCCTGGCCACAGGATTTTCTTCTTTGTTTTATTTAGTAATACGCTGCTACGTATTTGGAGGTTCTGGTGTTTGTAGGTCACTGAACAGACATTGAATATGATTTATATTGTATAACTGTAACATAGAAAGAAAAAGTATTTATATATTTTCCGTAAGACTATTTCATTGAGTTGTGTATAATTTAAATAAGGTTTGTCCCCAAATGGTTTTGCTCAACCTTGATTTTTTTTTTTTTTTTTGTGGTTTTCTTGTTTTTGTATAATGTGTACAGTTTATGTCAAGGGCATTAAAAGCCTCCTGAAGCATAATCTTATCAAAGGGATACATTCTTAATAAAATGTACTTAAAATTCTTAAACTTGCGTTGTTTTATTTGAAATTTTAAAACAATCAGTGTTGATCTGAATTATATACCACTGAGGCTGACGTTGATGCTCCCCAGTAAAAGTGACTTCTAGGCAACACAGAGCTACTTCAGTGACACATTTGTGGCTTGTTCCAAATACTTTTATTTCATAGAACTTATCGGGGCGACATTGGTTAATGAAATTATATAGGTTTCAGGTATACAGCTCTACATCATCTGTATGTTGTAGTGTGTGTTCTCCATCCCAAGTCTCCCTCCACCATTTACTCCGTTTTTATCTTCTTTTACCTCTTCCCACCCCTTTCCCTCTAGCAAGTCGCCATACTGTTGTCGTGTCCATGAGTCTTATTTTCTTGGCTTAATCCCTTCACCCTTGTTACCCAGCCCCTTAGCCCCGACCCTCTTGTCAGCCTGCTCTCTGTATCCATGAATCTGTCTGTACTTTGTTAGTTCTTTTTGTTCATTAACATCCACATGTAAATGAGATCATATGGTATTTGTCTCTAACTGGCTTATTTCACTTAGCATAATACTCTCCATCTATGCTGTCGCAAAAGGTAAGCAGATTCCGTCTTTTTCATAGCCAAGTCGTATTCCATTGTGTAAAATGTACCACAGCAGTTTTTATCCACTCACCTACTGATGGGCACTTGGGCTGCTTCCCAATTTTGGCGATTACAAATAACACTGCCATGAACATAGGGGTTGCATATGTTCTTTCAAATTAGTATCTCAGGTTTCTTCAGATAGGTTCCCAGAAATAGTTGCTGGGTCATAGGCAATTCCATTTTTAGTTTTTGAGGTAACTGCTGCTTTCCACAGTAGCTGTAGTAATCTGCATTTACACCAATAGAGTTCTCTTTTTCTCCACATTCTCGATAACACGGTTTTTTGATTTATTGGTGGTAGCCATTCTGGCAGGTGTGAGGTGATATCTCATTGTGGTTTTAATTTGCATTTCTCTGATGATTAGAGACATTAAACATCTTTTCATGTCTATTGGCCATCTGTATGTCCTCTTTGGAGAAGTGTCTATTCAAGTCCATTGCCCATTTCTTAATTGGATTGTTTGGGGTTTTTTATTATTTACTTTTATAAGTTCCTTATAAATTTTGGATATTAAGCCTTTATCAGATGTGTTGGCAAATATGTTCTCTTATTCAGTGGGTTATCTTTTCATTTTATTGATGGTTTCCTTTGCTGTGCAAAAACGTTTTAATTTAATGTAGTCCCATTTGTTTGCTGCTGTTGTTTCCCTTGCCCAAGGCAATATATCAGGAAAAATATAGCTGAGAAATGTCCAAGATTTTACTGTTTGTGTTTTCTTCCAGGACTTTTGTGGTTTCGAGTCTAACATTTAAATCTTTAATCCATTTTGTGTTTATCCTTGTGTATGGTGTGAGAAGGTAGTTTAATTTCATTTTTTTGCACATATCTGTTCACTTTTCCCAACACCATTTATTGAATAGACTCTCTGTACCCCATTGTATGTTTTGCCTCCTTTGTCAAAAATTAACTATAAAGATGTGAGTTTATTTCTGGGCTCTCTCTCATCTTTTACTGACTTGTATGTCCATTCTTACGCCAGTACAATGCTGTTTTGATTTGTTCCAGATGTTTTAAAATAGCTATTCACACTTTCTTAAACATTCTTCATAATCTAATCAAACATATCTTTACAATTCTACTTTAATCTCAGATTATTATGAAGGAAAAATGGATCACTCTTTACACAGAACAGTTCTGAATATTTTGAGGAATTAATGTGCAATGAAATTGTTGATAGTATGATGGTTCCTGTAGATGGTATTTGATTTCTCACATAAAAACAGACTTGATCAGATAAGGTAACGTGCAGACAGAAACTTAGGAGCAAAAGGATACACCACAAGAGAAATTATCCTGCCTGGAGGATAAAATTCAATGTCAAAGCTAGGGTCTAGAATAGGTGATTAAATGTGGTAAAAATATATATCTCCCATTTGGAAGTAGATTTATTTTGGGTATATTAGTCTGTAAGCACATTTCTGTATATCATTTTTTCATTGCTTTTCACTATATATGTCATTCAACAAAAACAGTAGGCCCCCAAATAAACTGAAAATTACAGTCAGTAATCATACATCTGATCTTTGCAAAATATAGTTGAACTTAAGTTTCACTTTTAAAGCTTTTTTAAACATCTTTTTGTATTTTCCATTACCATTTATCCCCCCACACCCTCTTCCACCTCTAACCCCCCACCCAATCTCCCTCAATCACCAAAAAAAACTCTTTGATATATGAGGTCTGTCTAGCCATTGTTAATATGAGAATGGTTTGCGTGACATCGCTGTAACCTGGCGGCCAAGGAGAGTAGACTGGAATGTGCATGCATGAACAATGATGACTTCACTATACTAGTCAGTGGGGGCGGTAGACACCATTGAGTGAGCATGTGTACTGTGTGGTTGTCACATTCAAAATGACTGAGTTGAGCAATGAATCTGCATTAAATTTTGCCTTAAGCTTGAACATTCCTCTGCAGAGACTATTCAGATGATGCGAGACTTTTGGGGATGATGCAGTGAGTGATGGGCAGCTTTATCATGACAACATGCCTGCTCATGCATCACTTTTCGTTCAGAGTTTGGTGAAACATCCAATCACCCAGTTGACTCAGGTCCCCTGCAGCCCAGATTTGGCGCCCTGCAACTTTCTGGCTTTTCCCAAAACTAAAATCACCTTTGAAAGGGAAAAGATTTCAGACCTTTGATGAGATTCCACAAAATATGACGGGGCAGCTGACGACGACTGGGAGAACTGTGTGAGCTTCCAAGGTGCCTACTTAGAGGGGGAATGAGGTGTCATTGTATGTACAATGTTTCTTGTACCTGCTTCAATAAATGCCTCCATTTTTTCATATTACAGGGCTGGATACCGTCAGGACAGACCTCATAAAAATACTCAAAGTACTGTCTTAGTCCATTCGGGCTGCTATGACAAAATAGCACAGACTGGGGTAGTTAGTTAATAAAACAATAGAACTTTATTTGTCACAGTGATGTGGGCTGGAAGTCTGAGACCAGAGTGCCAACATAATCAGATGAAGTCCGTCTTCTGAGTCCCAGACTTCTTGTGCCTGTCCTCACATGGCAGAAGGAACTAGGGAGTTTTGTGTGGTTTCCTATCAGAGCAGTAATTTGACTCATGGAGGCTCCAGCCCAATGGCCTAATTACCTCCCAAAGGCCCCACCTACCAGTACCATCTTCTTTGTGAGGTTAGAATTTTAGCATATAAATTTCGGAGGTGGGCTGTTATTCAGACTATTGCAACTACTATTGTATTGAACCCAAAAAGGACAGCCAAAATGTAGTAAACCTTTGTTTCTTTAAGGTTTATACAATGAAGACTAAGACAACTACATTGCTTGGTCCTTTCAAATTAATATACTTACTGTGTTGTAAATAATTTAACTGCTAATTCTGAAGGCTTTTTATTTTCTCTCTTCTCAAGGGTTTTAAAGTTCTACTTCATGCAAAATGTTTATATGTTTTGTAAATTCCTTGAGATGACAGCCAGTTTATCTTTCCATAGAGCTCTTAGAACATAGATGTTGTCGAATCCAACTTGATTTTCTTAAAAATACACATTCTAGTGGAGCAGATAATACACATTCTGTGTGTATTCCAGCAGTCCCCCTGGAGTGAGTAAGAGTCAGGTATTTGAATGTTAGCAGAGACTTCCAGCAGGCCCATGCTGTGGTATGACCAAGTCTCTGCTCCCAGCTGGGGCGCGCAGTGCCCTCCCTGCATCTGAGGACCAGTCTCCAGGCCGACGCGCTACGTATAGGTCATTAATGCCAGTCCTGCCCGCTGTCCAAACACCCTGACCCTTTTAAGGGTAATTATTACTAAGATGGTTTTAGGTGCAATTTTATAAAGGTAATATGGCTATGTTAGGGAAAGTAAAGCCCATTTAGAGAAACACAGTATTTACAGATGAAATCATATGAATTGCTTCAAAATAACATCAGGAGCAAGAGTAGGTAAGGCTATGGATGGGCTGAAACAGCCAAGAGTTAATGGCTGTTGGGGCTGATGACAGTACATAGGGGTTTATTAAACTACTCTTGTGTACATTTGAAATTCTCTGTTAGTAATTTTAATTCTAATAATTCTGACACATGAATACAAATTTTAAAGTTTCGGAATAACACTTCTTAAAGCAGTGCTGTTAAACGTATAGTATTGAAAATTAAGGCTTTACTAATTTATTTGGTGGTGATGAACATAGGAGAGGAATGTTTAATACCCAAACTATAGTTACAATGATACTGTGAGCACAAAGTTACGTAGCCCAGCATTTCCTACTGGTGTGTTGGTATCGTTATGAAAGATGTCTTTATTTCACTTAGACCGTTGTTCTCAAAGTGGAGTGTGCATCCGAATGCCTGGTGCAACATACAGATTCCAGGCCTCAGGCCACAGAGATGGGATTAGGAGGGCTGGCGTGGCACCCAGGCGTTTATGCAAGCTCAGGAGGCGATCTATCGGCATTACTAATTGTCAGGTCTTCATTTCACCGAGGTAGAGAAAACACGAAGTAATTCAGTGGTGGAGTATTTTAATTATGGCTATTGCAACAAAAATAACTTCAAGGTTTTATGCATTATTTTTTTTAAAGAGATTCTATGTGAAAGATACTATTTACAAATCAGTCATCACTGCCGTTGACATTTCTGTGGACTTAATATAATAATTGCCTCATGACAAAGCAACCCAAGAGGGTAAACAATGACTATCTGGACCCAGAGTCTTCTCAAAACTGCTATACTAATTAAGATACTCGCTTGTACTGTGCTAGGAGATCATACCCAATTTTCCTAGCAAAAGGCATAGAGCTATGTGAGGACAATGTTGAAAACCCTGAACAGAAGTCCTGGCTTGTGTCGGTGTGTGCAGACCAGCTGACAGCCACCTACTTTGAGAAGTGGGTCCTGTCATTCTCCCTACAGCAAACGAAGCGGAAGTCGTATCTGTGCTTGTTTAGAAATGTGATGAATAAACAGTACGTGTTGCCAGACACAAGGAAGAGAAAGGGATGCCTGTTGCCGCTCAAGGAGGAAAAGGTGGGGCCGAGCCCAAACGGAACTCCCCACTCCGGACAGCTTTTAATAGTTATGCCCAGACGACGTCCAGCAGCAATGTGCTTTCATTTTAACTTACTAGGTTAGCATAATAGGAATACAAATGAGAGTGAGGATGTTATTTTAGCCTAGACAACCTATTGTCGAGTCCAAAGGACACTAAATGAGAATGAGTCACATATAGTAAAGCTCTTGGAAAGAGAGAGAGAAAAAAGGAACCATAAAGTATGAATGGAATTACTCGATGTTACGCTTACCCTTTCCTATCTGAGGTAGTCATCAAAAATTATGGCAGGAGACTGGTGTGTGCTAAGGAGCAGCGCTGTTATCCTGACGCTGAGTCAGGAGGTCCCCGCGGGCCCCACTCTGACTGGTAAGGGCTACGGAAGGGCAGCTGCAGAGGCCTGACGGAGGCATTCGCTGTCCTACCTACCCGGGAGGGCCGCGCCCCCGGGAGGGTTCATTGCACTGTGACGATGAGCTGTAAATCCTTATCCTGTGAGGCAAGTCCAACATCGGTTTCTGTCTCAAACCCGTGACTTTTCCATTAAGCACATCCAGAACTAACATTGACAGTGTGTGCTCTAGTAACAAATCTGTGGCCTCTCTTACAGCCTTCAGTCTAGTTCCTTTGCTCTCAAGATAGTAAAGGTGGGAGTAAAACATAATGGAGTTACTTCCTCGCTGAATCCTAGGACCGGAGCCACGTTATCCGGTACTGAGTGGACGGGCTCACCCCCAAGCCAGGTGCCGGGGTGGCTGCTGCGCAGGTAGCCTGGGCCGTGCGGCAGCAAAGGAAGCCTGTCCCGTGCATGACGCTGGCGTTTCTAAGCAAGCCGGCTGCAGGGGAGGTCGGTGAGTGTCCTAGCTCCTGCGCATGGAAACCCAGCCAGATGGCAGCGGCCTCCTGCAAATCAGACCCGCCGCTGGTGGCAGCCCGCTGGGATTACACACCAAGGAATCGGGCGATGGAATGGGGCCGGGCGCGCTTCTCTCGGGGACTCGGGCGCACTGAGGCTGGGAAAGGTGGCGGGTTAGCGGTGGTGGTCTCCTTGCTCTAAAAGGGCGGTGGGACGGCTGCTGTTCTAGTCCGAGGACGACGGGGCGAGGCCCGGGGGCACGGCCATTTGCATTCTATACTCGCAACACAGCTCCGGCTCCGGCTTGGGGGGCTTTGCTGGGAGGCCGTCCCTGTCCCCAGACACAGGGGAAGCGAGCTGGGACACGTAATTCAAAGCGGTGTCTCCGGCTGGGATTTCTGCCAGCGTGTTCATGTAGTTTTGTTCTAGTGACTTCAGTAAACCTTCCGGTGAACTCAGGAGTCCCAGCTGACTCGGAGGGGCTTGGTGGGGTCCTGGGGCGTGGGCACAGCGACCAGGGTCGGCTGCTTCGTTATAGGTCAAGTTCTCAAAGCAGATGCAGGCGCCGGGGCCCAGGGAGGCCTTCCCTGCCGGGAGGATGTGGACGTAGTCCGGCTTGACGCACGCAGTTTCTGTGGGCGGCTTCCCGGCGCCGTGGAACTGGCTCTTGCCCCCTTCGGCCTTCTTGACAACTTCAATAGTGTCCGGAACGCAGTCCTTGACGTTCAGTATCGTCAGGTGGGCGTTCTCCTGGAGCGGAAACAGAAAACACGCAAGTATGAGGTAGGCGTCGAGCGTGCGGAGGGCACGCAGGGCTGCGCCGTTTCCCGGTTCATCCCAGTCCCACGTCAATGGAGGGGGCAGGGTTCCCCCGGCAGAAGGAACCAGGCTCAGTCTACCTGTTTCAGGGCGGAGGGAGGAGAGGTGGCCCTGCCCTGGTGGCTCTGCCCTGTCGTCTCTGCCAGAGCAGGTCTGCAAAGGCGTGATTATTACAGCCCCGGCCCTGGATTAGACGTGAACAGGAGCCTGGGGTCTGCGCGATTTCCCCACGTTTACCTTAGGTTTTAGCAAGGACAGGACGGTGCTCTTGTAAGGGTCTGGAATGTCAGGAAAACACATCTCCTTCATCCTAGAAAAACAGTGACAGTGAGGCTGAATTTTACAATCTGTTGGAGGGGTTAAGGACGAGAAGTGGAAAGCGAGAGTCCTGGGTTATGGTCCTTGCTCCGCGGCTCAGGACCCGAGGGGCCGGGCCAGCTACTTCGCCGTCCTAGGCCTCCATTTCCTCCAGGGCTCGCTGGAGGTAACAACGGTGCTTAGGGCGGTGCTGTGGGGCCTGGTGAGCGCGACATGTACAGCGCTCAGAACAGTCCCGAGCACAGACTAAGTGAAATGCGAATATCTTCTGTTGTTTTGGAACAAGTTTTTAATCTTTTTGAAAGGGTATTGTTTTTCTTATGTATCGATCCAAAAAGCAAAATGTTTTAGAACTTTCTCCTGTTTTCCTCGAAGCCGCCTCTGTCCTTTTTCAGCACTAGTCCTCCTCTTGTTCCAGGTGGTTTCTATTTTACCCAACTCCTTTCTAGATGCTTCTCTGACTCGCTTCTTGGATAACGCTCTCCACACACTTACCACTGACTCTTCCAGTAGCACAGGGCGGCGGCAATGAGCAGAAGGCAGGCAGCTATGGGGAGGAGGATACGGAGCAGCATGTGGGCTGGGGAGGAAAAGGAGAAAAATAAGGTTAAGCATGAGAGTAACTGTACATGTGTGTTATTTCTCAAAAGCCTGACGGGGAAGGGGGAGCAACCAACCAGCCAACAGAGGCGGCTATTTGCCCTTGACACTTGTGGCCAGACCCGTTACCTCTCCTGACAGGTGGTCATTGCTCCAATTCCTGCCCCCCAGGTCCCGCCGTGTCAGAATCCACCCTGCACTCCTGCCAGAGCGCCAGGGCAGGTGGATTGTGCTGCTCTGCCCCTTCACTTAGAGCGCAGCCACGTGACTTGGCTTGGCTGTGGGATGTGAGTAGTGAATGTCAGTGGCTGCTGTCCGTGCATTCGCACAGTTTCGCTTGCCCTCTTGTGCGCCTGGGCTCCACCGTGACAAGGCTCTGCCCCATGCCCTGGCTGGTAGCTCAGTGGGTTAGCGTATCGTCCGACATGCCAAGGTTGCAGGTTCGATCCATGGTCAAGGCACATACAAGAACCAACGTATGAATGAATAAGTGGAACAATGAATCGATGTCTCTCTCTCTCAAATCAGTAAATAAAAAATAGGAAAAAAAAAAAAGACTATCCCTCATCACCACTGCCCCTCCAGCCGGAGCCCCAGAGGGAAGCTGCGGGGAGCAACCCTGAGCAGCACCGAAGCCTGGAGCACTGCCTGGCCCAGCCAAGCCATGAGCATAAGAAGAAATTTTTATCCTCGTATGCCCCTGAGATTTTGAGGTATTGTGTTACACATCAGAAATTGACTGATGCACCCTTTCTAGTTCGTCTCTGATACAATGAATGCCCGTTCCGTTTATAGTTCTCAGATCGGCCAGCCAGCACTTCCTGTCCTTGGATGCCTGTCTGTCTGTTCCTGCTGAGTGCAAGTTCCGCCAATTACTAATTCATTGGGGCTGCTACACAGCCTTTTACAAATGCAAACTGCACAGGGAGGGTTTAGAGGCCCGCAGACATTCAGGAGCGATTCTGTACATCCCTGCGCTCCCTGCCACCCCGCCTGTCCCCATGCCCCGGCCACACTTGCCGTCCTGGAAGGAATGGGGTTTGATTTGGGGCGGGGGGGGATTGTGGGGGTGTCCTAGGCCTGCCTAGGAGAGTGTCCATGCCAGCGCTATGAGGCAGCATGGGCTCTGGAGGAAGGGCCTGGTGCGGGGCGAGGGGGCCAAGCTCCTGGACCACTGGCCTCAGGTGAGCCCCGGCGCCATGGAGCGGGGAAGAGCCTTCTCCCGACTCCCCTGAAACATGCCTTGCTGTCCGAGTGAGCGCCTGGGGCTACTACGGTTGGGGTTCAAGTTGGGTTAAATTGTGGACTTTTGTAATGTGATTGAGAACCAGCCTGGGGACCTGACCATAGCAATTTCTGAACTTTCGGATCAGTTTGCCAGACTCTTCACCCACGTACAATCTTACATACAGAAAGGTGCCCACAGGCAGACGGCTGGGTGAATTTTCGCAAACTGACCCTGCCCACGTCACCTGTACCCCGATACAGAGAATGAACATTACCAGCTCCCCGGGAAGCTCCCTGGGGTCCCTCGCAGCCACCTCCCCTCCCGAGCTACCCGCTGTCTTGTCTTCTAATAACAAACGACACCAGCCCCTTCCTGCTCTCTGCAAACGGAGCTGGGCAGGAGGGGCGAGTCTCTCCTGCCACTGGCAGCCCACTCATGATTCCCCCGAGCCGTTTCGGTGCCTTAGACTGTCACTCTCATTTTTGCAATTAGGCAGCGGTTTATTTCCTTTTAAAGAATACTCAATATAGCCAAGGTGAAGGGGGTTTAGCACGGATAAGGGTGAGAATTCAGAAAATGTACTTCAGATAATTACATGTATTATATATGTGTATACACACACACACACACACACACACTCCTCAACCATCCAGGTAAATAGCAAAGATGGAAGAAAAATAACCTGGAAACAAGCGTTCAGATAATGTGAGCCACTGACTGAAATCTTCGCTTGACTCTGCGCGTTCTGGCCTCTGGCTTGGGGAACGAGGCTGTGTTTCGGTGAACAGCAGTGAGTGCCCCCAGCTGCCACTGTCCTGTCACTGGTGGGGACCCTCAGGGTCAGAAGCTGTACCTGAAGAGCCTGTTCTGCGCCCACAGCCCCGCCGGCAGCAGAGGGACCCACGCCAGGACAGGCGGAGATCTCCGCCCACTTGTTTTTCACGGGGGACTGTCTTCAAGGACTGCATGCAGGGAGGGCCTTCTGCATTCCCCGAATGACACCTACTTTGCTCCTTCCTCTGTTGGTCTCTGTTCCCTCCCCAACCTTCTGGTTTGCCACAGGCCATGGTTTACCAGGAGAATCTCACTTACCGTTGACCAGTTCCATCCTTCCTTCATCTTTCAGGCCAAAAGCCTTTTGAAAATACAGATCTCTCTATTTTCCCCTTTCCCCACCAAATCTGCAAATACTTCTTGCCCAACTGCACCCCAAGAGGCAAAGTCAGGAAGCAATCAGTTTGCCCCGAGGGAACCAGCCAGAGGGCTGTGCCCGGGGGCCCTGGTGCCAGTGCCACCTGCTCTGGGTGGAGCCATGCGGCTCCTCCAAAGCCCACGCTAAGCTATGTTGTTTGCTTTTCAAACTGCCCTGCTATGGAGTGTGGGAGGAGTGCCTCGGGGGCCATGAGAGAGGCAGGGGCAGGTTCCAGGCCACCCGTCTGTCGGATTGGCCCCACTTTTATCTGCGTTATGGAGTGCAAGTCTGTGCAACGTTTTTTGTGAAATAGACTTTCATCTAGTTGGAGCAGACAAAGACAGGAAGAGGAGAAAGGTTTAAAAAGTCCTGATCTAGACAAAACCCCCGGCAACATGGGCGCCATTTGTCAGTAGTGTCCCAGCAACGGGTAAAGCGACAGTTTAGGTTTGGAGAAACTCACAGCGCTCGTCCGGCGTGGTAACCTTGGTGAAAGCCCCAGGAGTGCTGTTGCCAGCCCGGGTGTATGGGATGACTGCAAACTCGTAGGAGGATTCCGGCTGTAGGTTTCCCACTACAAGCGTCTTCTGTTCCGGGTTGTCGATTTTATATACACAACCTACTGAATCATCTGTGGTTTAAAAAAAAAAAAAGTTTTGGTTTTTTTTACAAGAAGAAAAAAGTATTAAGAGTGTGAGAGAGATTTGTGAGTTGAGTATTAACACTCTTATTGACTCAGCACCATCAACATGTTTAACCAGCCAGGGATTAGACCGTAATTTCATCACACCGGGGACACTGGTAATGTTTTCAGGAGATAGCAAGAAAAGCAAAAAAATCCATGGAGCAAAAGATGTTGGCGATCCAGAGAGAGCCTGCAGTTCTGCCAGAGATGGCAACGGTGTGCGAGAGACCTAAAAATACTTTTCATAGGCGCAGAGAACAAAGTGATGGTTGCCAGGGGGAGGGGCCTGGAGGACTGGGTGTCGACAGGAAGGGACTGAGAAGTACAGACAGGAAGTTGCAAAACAGTCATGGGGATGGAAAGTACAGCATAGGCAATAGAATCAATGATATTGTGGTAACTACGTATGGTGTTGGGGAGGGGGCTTGAATTATCGAGGGACCACATTGTGAATTATATAAATGTCTAACCACTATGCTGTACACCAGATACTGATATAAAATAATACTGAATGGCAACTGTAATTGAAAGATTAATCATTGTAATAACCTTTAATAAGGTCAAAGGGAAAAAGGAAAAGGAGTCAGCAAGAAAGTTTCCTAAGTGGCAGGTTTTCTGAAGGAGATGATGGGACTTTCAAGTGCTCCTAAAAAACCAGGCCACATGGCTTTTTAAGTAAGTCAAAATACCCACCCCACCATGCTGTCTACCTACTAATTTGTTTAAGAATGCTGTTTGACCATAAAAGCATGCAAGAATAGAATTCAGCCTGGTCACAGCCCCAGACAGGCAGCCTTGTCCATGATTTCGAATAATGAGATCTTTTATGAAAGGGGTAAACAAACAACAAAAAAATGTTACCTGGAAGGACTATCTTTTGGAATTCTGGCTGGCACTGCTCTGCCTTGGACTTCAAGTAGACATAGTACCCGCAGATAAAACCAGGCCAGGAGTCGGTGGAGTGATCTTTCCAACTCAAGGTGAAGGAGTGGGAAGTCAGGTCATGTATGAGCACTTGAGGGCTGTCTGAAGGAGCTGGGAAAGGAAGTTGAGGTAAGGAAAGATTCATGATTTGGAAATACTCTCTTGAACGTTTGTGTAAACAAAGTACAACCACAGCCAACTCCAGAGGCTCTGGGAGCTTGGGGTAAGGTAAGGGATTTTATCTTTTTCTCAAGAAGATTTAGATCTTGACATCATTTGGGAGAACTGGGAAGAAGTTGAGCAATCTTCTTTTTTTTATTGTTATTTTTTTAATCCTCACCCCAGGATATGTTTTTTTTTTGTTTGTTTGTTTTTTATTGATTTTAGAGAGAGAGGAAGGAAGGGAGAAAGAGAAAAAAATTGATGTGAGAGAGAAACATTGATCAGCTACCTTCCCTCCACATTCTGATTTGAACCTGCAACCTAGGTATGTGCCCTGACCGGGGACGGAACCCGGAAACTTTTGGTGTGTGGGATGATGTTCCAAACCACTGAGCCCTGTGGCAGGGTAAACATCTTCTAGTCCAAGGCTTGCCTTTCCCAGACGTAGAATGGATGCCCAGAGAGACTCGATAGCACAAAAGAGAATAAAGGCTTCCTTGGAATGCCTTCTGTTCCTAAATACTGAATACTGTGGACCCTGGAGCAACACGGGTTTGAACTATGTGAGTCTCCTTCTATGAGGTTTTTTTCAATAAACATACAGTCGAGCTTTCGTATCCTTGGGTTTCTCACCTGCAGATTCCCAACCAAAAATCGAAAAATACTGTTTTCAATCCATGGTTGAATCCACAGACGTGGGGTGCTGACTATATCCACTGTTCTCCACCATTTTGTATAAGGGAGTCAAGCCCCAGGGATTTGGGTATCTGCAGGGGTCCTGGAACAAATCTCCTGCAGATATTGAGAGACCCCTGTACTTCAGTTCTGGGGGAGTCAAAAGTTACAGGCAGGTTTTTGACTGTGCAGGGATTGGCACCCCCAACCCTTGCGCTGTTCAAGGGTCAGCGGTCATGTCTGAGAGGAGGCCTGACCAGAGTGGACTGAGGTGGGGGCAGGGGCCGGAGGAGGAAGAGTCATGTTCGAAGAGGCCCGGGTGGACCTGAAGAACGCCAGTTCCCAGCCAAAGTCCCGCAAAGTTATGCAAGTGCCATCGCGACAACCTGGCAGCCTTGTTCTGGGCCTGTCTCCTCGGGTGCGTGTGGATGCTTGGTCTGCACTCACCGACACACGGACACACAGCCCCCGCCCGTCTCGGGCAGAGGCCACCAAACAGAGAGCCCCATCAGGGGGCCGATCGACAAGGGCCAGGCGGTCAAGGGTCCAGGGGCCCGGCTTTCAGCGGGAGTGAGGCCCTGGATGCCGAGAAGGTGGCAAAGCACCACGTGGGAGGACGGACACCCCTCCACTGCTGGGAGGGTCACGGTAAAATTTCTGGGGCGATTCCACAATGTGTACAAAAAGTCCCAAACATTGAAAAGGAAATGACAAACTATATAAGACGCTCAAACCTTCTGATGGAAGTAGTTTACCTCTAGGACTTCATTTAACAATGGTTATCGTGGATGCGGGCAAGGATGTGGCTAAAATGATGGAGATTGGGACAGGGCATAAAGAGGGCGGGGCAGGTAAAAAACGGGGCATGGTGCATTTGGGATTGCACGGCACCTGAAGGTGAATTTTATACGTTTAGTTGAAAAACACTGTAATTATCCTAAATGTCCAAAACAGGTGACGTGGCATAGTCAAACAATGAGGCACTTCGCAGTCGTAAAAATGATAGTGAAATAACATGCAGTGGCCAAAGTCAGACTGCATAGAGTAAGACCCCATATTTACTTAAAACAGTCTGTCTGTACAGGGAAAGGAATACTTGAATAAACATAAAATATTAGCCCCGGCTGGTGTGGCTCAGTGGATTGAGTGCCAGCCTGTGAACCATAAGGGTCACTGGTTCAATTCCCAGTTGGGGCACATGCCCGTGTTGCAGGCCAGGTCCCCAGTAGGGGGCGTGTGTGAGAAGCAACCACACACTGATGTTTCGTTTCCTTTCTTCCCCTCTGCCTAAAAATAAGTAAATAAAATCTTTTTAAAAATAAACAAAATACTAAATCTGGGTATTTGCCTTTGAAGGGTAAAATTGGGAGTGATTTTTTTCTTCTTTTATACATTTTCTAAATTTACAAGATTTATAAATTATGTTTACTGAAAATGGTTTACATTAGTATGATTAAAAAAATAATTTTTCAAACACCCAGTTACCAGCATAAACAGGACACTGAGAATTAGGAATGGCGTGGACATCTTCCTAAACCGGAAGCTAAGGGCCTCCGCGTGGCTCTGGACCAGCCTTCCCTGGACGTGCTACGTGTTGTCAGCTTACCCAGTTCCTGGGAGTATCCTGTTTTTTTCTCCAGTAAATAAGCCGTCCTATTTGGATAAATTCCATAAATCCTGAAGTTGTATCGTACCCCTGGTCTAAAATCATCTAGAGAGGAAAAGCAACAGATTTTCAATTGTAACACAAAAATGACATTCTTTGCACTCCTGAAAGGAAAAGAAAGAAAACTGAATTTGCGTCCTCTTAATAATTTCCTTCCCGGCGCGGCCGCCCTTTACTGCCACCGTGTGTCTGCCCTCTGTCCGCTGAGTCTCGGGGTCCTCTGTCGCCTCCCACGAAGCCCATGGGAACGGTTCTCTACGTCATCCCCGGAAGAAAAGCCCTTAAACATGCCCTTACCCATGTGCATGAAACTGGGTGCACAACTGGACCAGACAGAAAACCAGAAGCAAGTCTTTGCCTCCAAATCCCCCTCCAGCGGCGCGCCTTCCCTCTACCCAGGGAAGCTGTGCCTGGAAGGCTTTGCTTCCACTTCCTCGCTTTCCCTTCGCGCGCGCGCGCGTGCACTCGCGTGCACCTCTGCGCTCCCCCTGCAGCACCCGCTGCTCTAGCCAAGGGGGACCTCACCTTCTCACTCCCCAAGGGCTGATGAAAGCCCTCCAGGGGCCTCTGACACCCTCAGACCCAGACAATTCCCACATCTTTCTCTTGAGTCCAGCAGATGGCGCCACTGACCTCCGCTCAAGTCACAAACCAGGGCTCTTGATTTTGCTAACACAGCAATCTTGAAATAACAAATACAGTGTGGAAGATAAGAGGTCAAGTTCCATATGGTCACTAAAATTGAGGAGTAGACGATCAACTCCCATCAACACTGTCCTAAACGTCTGCCAAACCCATACACATCTTTGCTTTTGTAAAAGCTCTCTGGACAACTGTAAGCATGTCCTGCTGCCATTCATTTTAGACTACTAATTTAGAGGAACAAATTCTTGAAAATTACGAAACCCTATCTCAGCCGTAGGTCCAGATACTCTCTGTCAAAGTAGACTTAAGGTCGAATCTCAGGCCACATCATTTGCAAAATGTGAAGTCCTAACACCCATCTTGGATTAATAACTTCAAAATTCCGAGTTTATCACAAAGCGTCTCGGAGGTGGTCCGGACATCCTAGCTAATGGCGCTGGAGGTGGATGGAACAAGATGGCTCTGTGGGAGGTCCTTCTTACCTGATCTAATGACAGTGCTTGTGCTGTTGGGGCCCACGTGGCTCCACTGGAGATGACAGGGTGAGTCCCGGGGGCGGTCACACCAGTCCACAACATAGCCTACGACATCTCCAGGTGGGGGTTTCCAGGACATAGAGAATCCATTCTCTGTGACTTCAACTCTTTCTTCTTCCGCCTCTTCTGTGCATCACAAATAGAGCAGTGCTTCAGATTTAATGAATCAAACATTTTGTAAAAGTATCTGAATAGGAAAATAAACTTGAACACGCAGTGTAACCACGAGACAGGAGCCCCAGGACTCCAGTCGCTACAGGGGCTCAGGAACGTTTCCCCAGGTGCCATCCCCCTCTCACTTCCCAGCAGATGCCCACACCTGCCCTCCAGATGCCCCTTGTCCTGACCCCGACACCCCGCCGGACTTCAGCACCTAAAACGGCTCAGCAACCTACCGCCTGCAGGACAGACCAAGCCTCTGAGGCTTGTTTTTGTATGACCCTTGAGCTAAGAATGGTTTAAAGATTTCTAAAGAGCTGTAAAAAAGAAAGAAAGAAAGAAAGAATAGAAAAGAAAAAGAAAAATACTGAATATATAATGAAAACATTAGGACCTGAGAAGCCTAAAATACTTCCAATCTGCCCCTTTACTGAAAAAGTTGCTGACCCTTGACCTAGAACCATGTCTGGTGCTGGATCTGATTTCAAAAAGCCATCTGTGGAGTGAATGAACAATTTGGCTGAATTCCCCCATTTAATGCTGGCTGCTCCTGAACTAACTATTGTTTCTCAGATGTTAGGGGTAGAAATTGAGGTGAGGACAAAAAAACCAAACAATTCAGATATATACTAAGTCTCATTATGGAAGGATAAGCACACTGCTTACACCCAAGGCTGCCGCCTCAGCGTATTCTACACGCCAGGGTAGTTTTTGTAAGGCCTGCCAGTTGGAAAACGCTGGCATGGTCTCAGTGGCCTGCCAGTCCTACTGACTTAAAGCAGGGACCCCTCGACCTCGCGGGACGAGGAAGCCGCCTCTCTCCCCAGGCCGACCCCATCCCACCTCCCTTCACAGGGCCAGTGGCTCCGCTGGTCCCTCGAGTGAAAGCGGGCCCTGATCAAAGGGTGGGCCCGCAAGCAGCTGCTCCAAAAATCAGTCACTGAGGACCAGCGGGCGCATCGGGTGTACACACAGTAACAATGCACTCAGCATTTCTCTGTAGTGCCTGTCTAACTGGGCCTCCCTCATTGCCTGGCAACCCTGATTACCGCTGATCATCAGCGGGAGAGCATGGTGCTGTTAAATTTGCCAGGGCAGGAAATGACTACCCAGCTGGGGCGCCCCAAGGGATGCGTAGCCTAGAATAAGGCGAAGGGTCCCCAAGAAGGCCTTTGTGTAGCCTGCCGACACAGCTTCCCTCTCCTCCTTCATCGAAGAAACAAACCACTTTCACATCGAAGTGACACCTTTCACGTCGCTTATTCACACTAAAATTCCACCTTGAACTTCGAATCATGGCTCTTGTCAAGTGCTGCTTTAAAATTGCGAACACGGGTCCGCGGAGTGGAGGCAAAGGTGCCTGTCTCATAGCACATCTACGTCTGTCCACCCGAGTGGCTTCAGCCTGGGGAGACTCACAGAGGAAGGGCGGGGCCTGAAGGCACGGCAGGGGGCGGAGGGGGTGGCAGGAACCCCAGCACAGGAGCGTGCCCGGCCGTGTTTGGGCTGAGCCCCTATGAGGCAGCCTTTCTTTCACCGTCCAGCTCCTGGAGGGTGAATGAAGGGCCCCCTTCTTCCGGCCTGGCCCTGCTGAAGGCAGAACACAGCCATTCATTTCCTTCTGTAAGGCTCTTGACAAGCCGGGGTCATGTTAAATAACTCCTCAGTTTTTCTCCTGTGCCACGATCCTCATTTTTTTCCTCACTTGCCATAATGCGTAGTTCTTCAACAAAATGAACACAAAACACCGACGCCCTGTAATCTAGCCCACGCAGCCCAAATGTGAGCGCAACATGAATAGGTGTAACGCCCCGTGACATGATCCCTGAAGCAGGAGCTGAAAAATTTAATAGCAGTATCTGAAGGGTGGCATTACTGCAAGGTTCATGAATGGCCTTACGTGTCACCTGTAGGACGTGCAAGTTCATTGTCCCATGGCAAGGCTCGGTGTAGCCAACCTTTGCACAGCCTTCCCAAGGAGGGATTAATATCAATACTGATTTTACATGCAAGGTCATTTCCACCTCATTTACTTTTTACCGGCAACCACGTAACCATGTTTTATGCTACAGTTTTGGCAAAGCCCCTCTTGAAAGATGATACTGGTTCTCCCCCAGATCTCTGGAAATGTTCACGGACTCTTCATAGGCGGCAAAGACTAACAATATAAGACATGCAACTCATACTTCATAAGCCACGAATCACTTTTACACTGACTACAACTCTCAGTTAAGACAGAGGTTGGTGCTGTATTGATTTGAGTAGATATGAGATAATTTCTCAAGTGTGTTGAAGAGTTGCCAGGGCAGAAAGCGATGGCTGGGATCTCATTCCTCCCACACAGAGCGGGGCTGTCCTCGGAAACCCATCGGCCCTCCTGGACCAAGCAAAACGCTTAACACCATTTGCTAGTGAGACATTTTGTCTCCCCAACTTACTGTCTTCCCAATGTACCTATCTCCCCCTAATAATATCATTAACACTTTCCTAGAGAGTACAAACAAAGCAAAGTGTAACTCACTGTTTTCAGGGTCCCCAGAAACAACGATCACAGCAGCAGGAGAAGTGCCCGCGCTGTTATTAGCTGTGACGTGGATCTGGTGAGAACACTCGTCCAGGGCTAGTTCTGTGCTGTTGGCTGGAGCAGGGATGGGAAAGGACTTTGCACTGGATGGATTGTGTAGATTTTCTACAACTACGTTATAGAAAAGAATCTCTCCATGGGCATGCGATTTTGACAGTGGCTGAAAAAATATTGATAATCATTTCAAAATGAGTTTTCCTCTAAAAGGAGTTTGCACAATCACTTTGTCATCTTTTCTGTCCCTCAAATGCACACACAAACAGAACAACAGTTTACTGGAGAAAATAACCTTCTAAGCCAGGCTTGACCTTGGGCCATCTTCTGTAAAGTGGAGTAGAGAACAGGCTCATTGGGGGTGAGCCCCCCCCCCAAGTGTGTCACAGAAGAGTGACCAAGTCAAGAATGGGGACAACAGGGAACTCTCTAGCCATGCATGAACCCTAGCAGAGAGTCCAACTCCTGTTCCCACCACGCTCAAACCATGAACCCCCCATCCCCAGAGCCCACGGTCCCCTTTCTAGAGGATTCTCTGGGTTGCAGAGAGTGACCTGATCACAGTCTCAAGCCGGCTCGCAGGGCTCGACCCTCGGGCCCACCCTCCTAAGAATAAATGGTGCCCCCACCCCCAGCCATGAGATCGGGCTGGGAATGGCTGTTGCTCAGGGTGTGGGCAGAACATAGACATACAGGAGGCACATGCACACACGCGTGCACTGCTTGCGAGAGCCAGGATGGAGGTGGGAGGAAAGTGGGGTGGGTGGAGGCCGGGGCCAGCTCCCCCAGCATGACTTGTGGTGCCAAGCGCTGAGCACTTCAGAGTTCCGAACCAAACCTGGCCTCCTGGTCACCGAGAGGCACATTCGTCGAGGCCAAAGGACACCATCTGGTTGACATTACAGTTTTTTAGCTTGACTCATAGCTTTTCATCATAAATACCATGGCTATTCAAGTAACCATACTTTTAAAGATGTGCTTCTCCAGTGACACTCGTGAGACGGTTTCAGGGTTACCCTGGACTCCGGCTTGACCGAAAGCACCCCAGCAAGGCCTGCCTGTGACGCCTTGCTTTCAGTAAAATTCCCCAGTTAAAATAACCTAACCACATCCTCAAAGGAATGGACACAATAACGTCCTTTCTTAACATCATGTTCTGCAAAGTAGTTATTTTGTCAATTAAATGGTAACTAGAATATCTGCACACGCATTATTTTATAGGCCCTCTGGGTGGTCCACGGACCGTGGAAAACATCTTGTGGCCACCCCGGGATCCGCCGCCACCCAATGACAATGATGGGACAGCTGACCGCATTCCCGCCCCACGGCCTCTCGGTGAGCTCGACTTCTCTCTGTGGGCCGACTCCCTGTGTGCACGCTCCTCTCCATCATCGCTACCTGTTTGACCTGGCACTGAGCTCAGCGCTTGCTTCTCTGCCACACAGGCTCAAGGGCCCGGCGCTCAAGGCCTGACACCCCGCATGCCCTGGGCCCTGTGCAAGTTAGGGGAGCCCCGAGTACGAGTCACAGAGATGCAGGTCCTAACAAAGAACTGGCTGTCCAGGCAGCGGGCTGTAAGGAGCAAGCAGGGCAAGCACTCGCCGCAGGGGTGTGCAGGGGGGCTCCTCCCTGGGGGCCGGGGGGCATTCGCTGTCTCTGTGGCGAGATCCCTCTCCAAGAGCCCCAAGCTGGAAGACAGCACCCAAATCCGCTCGTTTCACAGGGAAGGACGTGGCCACCTTTCTGAATCTGTGCCTCTTACCTTCCAGAATAACATTACGTTACAAGATCCCAGCATTGACTTCACGTCTCTCCAGACATCAGGAGCCATGGAGGGGGCTGAAATTAACCAAGGAAAGTTCTTGGGTCACAGTGTGTGAGTAGGACGATACGTTCCAACTTCTAGTTTGGTCAGTGAAGTGACGATGAATAACCTCAAGGCTTGCTTCTCACTTTTTGACTCTGTGACTTTTTTACTTTTTATTATTATTATTGATTATTATTATTTCTCTGCCATTCATTAACTTTGCAAACTATGCAAGTGTCTATGGGCCCAAGTTGCTTCATCAGTAAACTGGGCAACAGTAATACTTCACTATCTTAAAGGAGGGCTGTGCCATCTAATCTGCTGAGGCCTATTTGAGCTCTAAGGTATAGTTATTTGGGAGAAAAACTCTCTGTTCTGTCAACTTTGAGGAAAGGACCCCTAACGTCATAATAGAGAGGACTCACAGCTTGCTGTTGCTGAACAGAGACTAGTTATCAGTAATAACTAGATTTCCAAATATTGCTGCATCGCCAAACTTGGCCTAAAGTTGTCTGGCATGAGATCAATGCTTTCCTTGGCAGGGACACTCTGTTTGTCCCCAGCTCTGAGTTAAAAGTCTATGCTGATTTGCACAGCCACAAATCCAGCAGGAATCAAGTGATGCCCGTAGCTTAGAAACCACTTCGGCACAAAGATCAGAGAGAAAATAAGAGAGCAGAAATAACACTGATGGCCAATGTTTGAAGTGGATGCCTTCCCACTCGTGTCTCAGTAACCATTTAATTCCGTTTTTATTTTATTTTTATTTTTGATTTTTAAAGGTAGCACCCAGTCCCTTTTGTAATATTTTCCCCTCAGCTACTGGTACAACCAAGAGCTCTCAGAGAAGCCGATCCACCTCCCATGAGTCAGTTTAGACCCTTGAGTTCAATGTGAGGGGTCTGCACGCACCAGCTTCGAGTGTGTTGAACTTCTGATCAGCCCACTCTGACCATTTCCAGAAATGGCTGGCAGCGGTGCAGTGGACCTGGGCCACATACTCCGTGGCAGGCTCCAGCTCCCTGAAGACGTACTGACCATCCACCTCAACGGAAACATTGTGCTGCTTGATAAAAAAGACAGAGGTATTGGGGAGCATACTCTATCGCAAAGCCAGATCACAGCACAACACATCCTGATTGGGGTTTGACTAGTTCTTCTTTGGAAAGAAATATCCCTAAGGCCCCCTTCCCAACTCAGAAAGTCTAGGACCTCAATTTCATGGGACCTCTTTCAATCTTTAAACCCATACCAGTTAAACCCCTACAGAGATAAGAGTTTAGAGAGATTTTATTCCCTAGTCTCTCTGTTCAGGACATAAAGGGATGTTTGAAAATAGAATATTAAGCAGTCTCCTTACTTGTATCACCTTTCCTTCACCATGGAGTTCAACCTCACACAAAAATATGAAAGAATTCCCAGTGGAGGGTACCTTCCAGGTCATGGTGGCATTTGTGGCACTTATACTTTCAAGGAGCACTTTAAAGGGAGTCATTGGATGAACTGCCAAAAGAAGGATGAAGAGGAGGAGGAGGAGGAGGAGCGGGAGGAGAAGTAAAAAAAAATTAAAAAATTCCAGCATAGATCCAAAAGCCTTTGGTAAATAAGCAGTTCATTTCCTCATTTATTTATTCAGTGAGAATTTTTTGTTTATTTTTGAGACAATGGCAAACAAAACCGGACTTACAGCCAGAATGGAATAAACCAACTACAGCCTTTCTTTCTCCCTGATTATATTAGAAACTCTGAACAAAATATAAAAAGAAACCACTGGAAAACTCTTAAAATTAAATAAATCAGGCAGATTGTGGAGGGGCATCCAAACTTGGAGAAGCTACCCCTGGGGAGAATATATAACAGGACCCAAAGTCCAACCAAAATAAGAGACCAGAATTAGAAGCATTCCGGAGCTGACTTTTTTTCCCCCTTCCTAACGCTTGTGTCCATAGTGGAGGTAAGTGTCAGAATGGGGTAACTAAAAAAATCCTCAATTTCTGGCTGGAGGAAAAAAGTCGAGTTTCAGAAAAGTGAAAAGTACCAGAGAGATCATGGAGAGGCAGGGGCCCGGGAGAGTGAACCCGTCCCGCTGCTGGTGACCTCGTGCGCTCAGTTCCCAGCTGCGCATGCGCGGATCGTAGTCACGGCACCGAGGGCTTTGAGGACCCAGCTCACAGGCTGTTGCCCAGGGCCCAGACTGCCCCCTGGGAGGCATGGGGACAGATCTGGAAAGTGCCGCACAGGCTTTGAAAACAGAACAGGCCGACACCACAGCCTGCAAGAGGCGGGTTGGAGCGCGCGGCTTGAACCTCACCAGGCCACCTGTCTCCTAAATCAAGCTGTCACTAGTCCCTCTGGGATCTAAACACCCAGAGTCTCACCTCGATGAGCCAGGTCAAAAACAATATTCACACTTCTCTTCCTTAAGTAGTTTTCAGCCACGAGCGTGAAGTTATATGTTTCTTGCGAGTCTTGAGCTACCTGCCAAGTGCACTTGTTTCTCTCTTTACAAAGTTTCTTTTTCCCAGAAAATCTAAAACAAAAACAAAAACACAAAAAATTTCAGGGTTTACACTTCTGTCAACACCGATGTGTATTCCTGTCTCCCTCGGGGCAACTTGGTGACTTTAGAACTATGTTCCACACAAGATCCATCCATCACCAACAAGCACCAACAATGAAAACGCTGTTTCCACGAGTTGGATTTACGTGGTTGAATGTGGATCGATGCATCACTGACTCCCCCTTGTGGGTGGTGGGAACTCTCCTTAATTTACTTTGGACATTCTTAAAAAGTTAGAAATTGGGTAGACTCAGATGGAACTATTATTTAAACAGGTGAAAATATTTTCACGTCTAGACTCACCATTAATGGTCTTATCATTTTTATGCTACACGTTCCTTTCACGAAACCCCAGTAGGAAGCATTGTACACTTGTGACCAGCTAAAGAGGCCCAGGGTGGTTTTAAAAAATTTGTTTGAATTTAATGCAACATCTGAATGTGGCTTTAGTTAGGTCGTCATGAGCACCTCAAACAAAGAAGAGTCTGTCAAAAACAGAATGAGAGCTAACTTACGATTCAAATAAAGTGTAGCTTGTGGACGGATAGCTGGGCAGGTCAGTGCTGGGCCCAGGATCCCAAGTACAGGTCAAAGTCTTCAAGTCCCTAGTTTCACAAGAAAAGTCCTTGGGCTCCTCAAGTACTTCTGTCCATAGGAAGAAGAAAACAAATGAAAGACCCAGTTAAATTCAAAACAGATAAAGCGGGAAGCTCTCTGCGGGGTCCGAAACGACAGAGCGACTCTGAGCAATAAAAGGATCATGAAATGGGTCCTTTCCCTTTATAGGTGGGCAGTTCCAGAAAGTCCCATTTCAGGTGTGTCATCCTCGTGGCCCCTGTCCTTCCTTCCCTTGGGCTCAGCTGGGCATCCTGGGGACGGGTGGTCAATGTTCTGCACACGGCCAGCACGGAGAGTGCTGGATGGAAGTGGTCCCCCTCCCCCGCACCTGCCAGGAGGCACTCCGTGAGTCTGGCTCATAACAGACTCAGCGCATGAAAGCATGAAAGAACAAAGTGAGCGCGGCCTGGTGTTTCACGTCGGATGCAGCGGCTCGCAGGGAGCCTGGGGGCTCTGCTTGGGATGCCAGAAGTCAGATCTGGGGAACAAGCTGAGGTCAGGAGCCGGGAGCTGAGAGGTCCAAGGACTGGTACAGGCCTCCAACTCCCCGCAGCCACTGCTGTCCTTAGAGGCCATTCCAAGGAGCACAAATAAACCGAGTGTCCGGGAGCCTGGAGGTGCCCTTTGTCAGGGAAGCTGCGAGGGCAGAGCTGTAGATTGGGCTTTAATGTGCAGGGAAGGCTCATCTCAGCACAGAACATAGGGGGCCACCAGACACATGCTCACAGACCTACACCAAACAAAGTGTCCCCACGCCACCGCTGCCACCACAGCGCTCATGAACTGTGAAGGCTCGCTGGCGAGGCGCCTGCCACCCAGCTACCTGAGCAGGGCCATGTTCGTTAATCTGCAGAACAACCGCCCACCCCCTTTCCCAGAGGCAGAGACCAGCTCAGAGCGGCTAGGAAGCTTGGCCAAGACGGCAGGCCTGCGGGGGAAGGAGATTCCACCCTGAGTGCCCCGGAACCACAGAGCCGGGGCTCCCCCGGGGTCCCCGCTGGCAGCCCCGCGCCACTCCGCCCCTGCCCTGCCACCCTGAGGTCACCGCAGCCCAGCGGAGACGAAGCTGGGCGTTTCCAGGCCCTGACCTGACCCTTCTCCCCATGAACACTCTTGGTTTCTAGGAACAGAACGGTTAGCAAAGACAAGAAAACAGGAAATCCTGCTAGTCCAGCTCCACGGTATCTTTTTCCCAGTCTCTGTAGCAAGACTTAGGAAACCAAAGAAAATTGAGGCCAGGCATGGAATTGAGGCCGTTTTGTCATCTGGTAAAGAAGTTTCCACCGATTCCTTAGGAAATGGGGAGAGAAGGCACAGAGAATGGGCATACTTACTTGAGACAAAGAGAACGAGGCCCTTTATGGCCTTTGTCATTTCCTCCTGACAATAGAAATTTGTCCCCGTCTCCCTAATGAAAGGAACATTATTCAAGGTGAACACAGACACATTTGGATCAAGTTGTTCTCCATGTAGCAGGTCATCTTGCAAATAACAGGATATGTTATTCTGACGGCTCCTGGAGACGTAACAAATCGTGACATTGGAGCCTTCTTCCACCAGCTTCTTTTCGGGGAAAACGAACAGTGAGCCATTTCCAAGAGACCCCTGTGCTACAAGAGAAGAAAAGACATCTCGGTTAGAAGATCACTCAAAATTCACACCAGCCTCCTCCCCTCTCACTCTCGACACTCTTAGCTTCTTCTACCTTCTGGAGAAAATAGGAGCCCAGATGTGTACCGCACACCTATAAACGCTGATGCACGCTCACCGAACAGCCCTCTGCACCACCGCTCCGGCTGGTACGCGGAAGCCGCCATCGTGGTATCGACCTGCAGGGCTGTGACCGCGGAGGGCTGCTGCGGGGCGGCTGGTGCCGGGCGATTCTGACAGCGGAAGCCGTGCGGGAGGCCCTGTCTTACGTGGTATGTCTGTTATCTCATGTCATTCCGAACCCACACAACCACGGGACAGGGAGCACTGAGCCCAGTTCAATCAAAGTGGCAAAGCCACGGTTGCTCCCGCTAGGCCTGGCCCACTCTAAAGCCACACGTCCTGCATAATCTCGCATCCCCTCCCACCTTCTCAGACACGCCCGCCACTCCGGTGTCTCCCTGTGCTGCAGCCTCTCCTGCTGCGTGGCCCGTCAGCACGTTCAGTCCTTACCCCTCTGCCATTTTAAGCAATGTCACTGTCCTCCCCAGGGGTGCCTCCTGCCACCGCTCCGCCTGCCCTCCCAGCCGTCTCCCTGGGAGCTCCCACCGCCCAGCACAGCCAGCCCGCCACAGTGCAGCTGTGGGCCCGGCGAATCGCAAATACTGCCACCGCTCACGTCACCCATGCGGAGTGGCCTGGGCACAGGATCGTTTTTTCAAGTTCCCCAGGTGATTCTAACGTGTGACCATGGTTGAGAACCAGTGCTTTGCGGGTCAGGAAGAATTGGGTTTCCCATTTATCCTTGAGTTGCTCTGGAGATCGCAGTTTTGAGAAATATAGTCTATTTTATCAAAATAGATATATTATTAATAAAGCTGTTCTTTCTTCCTCATTACTATCTTTTCAATCTCTGTTTTGTCTGCGAGCTTGTCCCTCCCTCAGTGGTAGGCGCACTGTTAGGGGCAGGGCCTCTGGACATTCCGACCTGGCTGCACCCATCAGCGGCCGATGACGGTGCCTGGGTTCTTAACCGACCTGTGACTCAGCTTCCTCATCCGTGCAGTGGGGATTAGAATACCATATACTTCACTGGACAGATGTGAGGACTAAGTTAAGATGCACAGTGCTTAACACAGTAGCTAGAATGTAGATTTAATTCTATTATTTAGTATTAAACTAATTCCCCAGGCCACTCATGGGTAAGTGCATTATCCGTTTGAGTTCATAAATTGGCATAAATAACTTCACAAAAAAAGTGAGTCTAAGGGCAGGAGTTTCAGAGAGCCTGGCCGGGTATGTAACTGAGAGAACCAAATATCATCGCTTTAGAACTGGCCTGTAGCTTAGCTGAAGCATGAGCCGCGGCAGCGTGCCCACTCTGAATTTTAATTACAACAAAACAAAATCATCAAAATTGAGATATTTAATACGCATTCACCCATCACTTCGCTCCTCCAACTAAAGAACTGCTTTCATTTTCCCACGTTCCCCCACACTTCTCTCTGCATTAGGGATCCTGGCCAACTAACCAAGGGGCCAATGCCGGCCCGCCATCTGCTTTTGTCGGTGACGTTTTCTTGGGACGCGGCCACTGTCGGTCATTCGCCACTGCTTTGGCGATGCAGTGGCAGAGTTGCACAGTCACGCCGGAGGCTATGCCCGTGTTCTAGCTGTGTGCACATTTCGTGTGGTGTTCTAATAAAAACGTATGTACAATTTGTGTGCTGCTCGGTTCACTGAGCGTTCTGTAATAAACATGTGTCACACGTTTGGAAAACAAATAAAAATGGTCTAGATTTGCATAATTATTTCAATGATTAAATTCAGAGGCCAGACCTCAGGCATCTACTTCCTGGGGCCAAGCTTCACACCCATGCATTTTGGTTTTAATGGGAGCCAAGGGAAATGACCGCCGGTGTCTATCGTGTTCCCCGCAGGGGCCTCCACCGTTGGACTGCTGACCCCCAAATAATATTACCTATTAACCCTTTCGCTCTCTCAGCACCTTCTTACCATCCGCTGCCTCCCACGGGCTCCAGTCGCTCCAGGGCCGTGCTTCCACCCTGCCCCTCATCCTTACAAAGTGCGTCGCGCATTCCAAAGGGAGCTCAGAGTCCCACCTCCAGTGCAGAACCTGCTGCCACTTCACAGTGGTGCTATAATTCCCCTAGAAATAAAGAGGAAACATTGGAAAACAGAGCCCTGCTGTCCTGGAAAATGGCTGGACTGGACTTATCCCAAAGCACACATCCACTGCAACTCCACAATCTGAGTGAGCACTGGCCATGGCTACCCAGCCAGCTCCCCATTCTCTGACGTCTCAGCCAGAAACCAGCCAGAACCTCACACCCCCCCAAAACTCGGCTCCCACCCACTCTAGTCCTCCCCTTCCAAGGGGCTCCCATGGAGCAAGTGATGGGACACTGAAGCAGCTCAAGTCTTGGGGGAAGAGATCAGAGATAGAAGGGGCTCACGGTGCTGGGCACATAGGACCTACTAAGAAAATTCCAGAGAATCAAGTCATCCTCCTAAAAAGAAACAAGAGCGATGGGCACGGTTTCATATTCACTTCCAGCCAGGTCAGATCAGGCCAGCCAAGCCTCAGGAGAGAAGGCGGTCCTGCACGGTACCCGCAAGTTCCATTGTCTCCCTGCTGCCAACAGATGGCTCGCCATATCTCCCTTAATTTTTTACTCTTGTATTTTTGGATACGGTGGCCACAGGGGCCATATCCCCTCCCCGGAGCCCCACCTGTCGGCATCTTTAGTCCCCAGAGATGCCAGTCGCACAGGAATGTCTCACACTGTTCTCTGGGAAGCTTGTCCAAGCTGAACGGCAGTTTGGTCCTTCAGCACAGCTCTGAGCCTTAATCGTTCTAAGACACTGGTACGTTTGTTCCGTAATTCAATGGGCTTCAGCAGCTCCTCCACGCCTCGCCCTGGCGTTCAGGGCCACCTACGGTCTGACTCCGACCCACCCTCCCTTTCAGGAGTCTTCTTCTGGACGCGGTGGTCTGCCCCGCATTTCTGGAATAACTTGGTGTTTTCCCGCCTCAGTGTTTGCTCCCACAGCGCCACACTCCCACTGCCTGGGGGATGAGTCCCACCCTTCAAGCCCAGGTTCCACCCCTTCTCCTTCGCGAAGCCTTCCTCGAGGGCTCTTTGCACTGGCCTCCTCCCATCCCTCGCCCCTGGAGGCGTTCTGCGTACGGGGTGCAGTTGCTGGCGTTTCGTCGGTGGTTGTGTTCCCGACTCAAGCATGGTCCCAGGAGAACAGGGACTGAGCTTCGCTCTTCATCACCTCTGCCACCCCCCCCCCGCCCCCGGCCCCAGGCGCCTGTGCACCTCAGTGGGCCAGCCAGAACCCCTGTTCTCTGGCCCCAAAGCTGAGAGACGGTGACAGCAAACACCTTGCACTCCCTGGGGATAACTGAGACTGCATCCATCTCAAAGGACGGATGGCAGCTCCCACAGTGAAGAGCAGAGGGCAACGCGCCTGTCACACACGACCTGGAGGGGGTTGGTCTTGAGGCCTTCCCTCCCCTGAAGGCCTTCCCCTGCCCACAGTGCCAACCTTAAACACAGCCCCGCAGTGAGGACACCTTAGCCACCGGGGCGGCACCTGCTCGTGCACGTCCCCTGTGGAACTCCGGCTTCTAAATCATTTCTTTTTTATTTCACTGCATTGCATTACTTTATTTCTAGATTATAAAACATGTTTTGTTAACTACCAGTTTTGAGGTCCTGATCCATCCAAATTTCACTATTTAATCTGAGCAATTTCTAGTACAATATTGTTTATATATTGGTAAACTTAAGAGCCAGTGCAAAAAAAAAAAAAAAAAAGAAGAAAAGGAACAATACCAGTAATGGTGACCTTTCTATGATATCAACAAGCCACACACTGGATTTCCCCTCCGTCTCTCTCAAATTCGGCCACTGCTGTCCCCGCCGTCCCCACCCATCCAGGCGCCTCTTCTCTGGACCGACCCAGAGCCTGCATCCTCCTGGCCACACGGCACCTTCCCCCGTTCTCCCACCTGCCCTCCACGGGACAGGTGGGGTACGCTTTTAAAACCTCCCCATCAGAGCCTGTCGCTCCCCATCTTTTGACTGATCTCAGGATAAAAACATGCTTGGCTCAAACAGCCCTTCCCCCCACTTCCTAGAGGGGGTCAGGCTGAACCCCAACCGCTTAGCACCTCGCCAGCGACCTGCACCGCCCCTCGTGCGGTTCAGACGCCCAGCCCATGCGTATGTCTCTTCGCAGACCCTCGCCTTGAACAGCGCCCAGACCCGGGCCCTCGGCCTACAACCAGGGGCTGAAGGACTTCATTCATTCATTCATTCCTGCAGCGGGTTCTAGTCCTCCCAGGGCGAGTCGCGTGGATTCTGTCTAACTACAACTCGTGCTTTGTGGTGTGTGTGGCCTTGAGAGGGAGGAGACAAAACTTTCCTGAATGCATTGATTCAGTGATCTTTTTAAAAATGCGGTGAGTTGTGTTTGGGCTGCTAAGTGGCAAGCGTAATCGGCACTGGCAGACACAGATTTACACAGAGGTCGGTCACCGGTTCGGCCTGGCAGCGTGAGCTTAGCCCTGGGTGACTCGTGCTGCAAGTCTGCCTGCACGCTCAGCTGTCACTCAACTCTGCCTTCCTCTGCCCTCTCCCGCCTTCTCCGGCCTCTCCCGGGCTGGAGCGGCCGAGGGCAGGACTGGCCCGGGGGAGACCGTGCGCGCACAGGGCGGCTGCCAGCGGGGACCTGAGTGGCCGTGGCTCAGGGTCCCTGTCCGCCCGTGGCCCCTGGATATTCCTTTGGGAACACAGTCACCTGAGACATGAACCCAGAAAGCTGCCCCTTCTCTACATGAGCAGAGGTCCTGTCAGACTGGCATACAGAGAGCTACCCCACGAAAGGGAGCTTAGGGTCTAGACAGAGTGTCCTCTCTCTCTTGGCTTCCTCTCCCCCACCCGGCAGGGGCCCTGTGTCTCTCTCTGACTTCAGGCCGGAGAGGTCCAGATGAGGACGACTCACGGCATCATCTGTCCCGGGACACAGGGATGACTCCGGGAGGCTGTCCGTGGCCACTGTCCCTGTCTGGGCACAGGGTGAAGGGTGCCCTGGCTCCGTCCCCTGGCGCAGCACAGCCATTCCCTCAGTACCTTGGCTTTCTCCTCTGGGGCGGCGGGGGTGCGGGGGTAGTGGTCAGGCAGGGCTGGGGGCTGTGCAGACAGTACCACAGATGATGCAAAGCTCTGCTCCCGAAGATCCGGAGCCTTGGCAGTAGAGCTTTGCATCCTCTGCGGTTCTGTACCTTGAAAAGAGAACCGGTACATGACTCAAAGGTGAAGACAGGTATAAACAGCTGCCTGTTAGAGAATAAAGAATGGAATCAGCTTGGCCCGTGGCTGTCATTATTTTCTCTAACATGATAACAGAAAGAACTGTCTTTTAGAAAAATGAAGAATGGGATCCCCTTGGTCTGAGGTTAATGTCACCCTTGCTAATGGTGTTAAGTGTTAGTTTTCCACAAATTCCTCCAGCGCTTCCCTCAAATTTCTTTTTCTTAGGCACTTCTTAGCCTCAGCATGACCTTTGTTTGATATTTTACCAGGTCCAAGTCAACAACCAGCGTATCCATCAAAAATATACAGACATTTATGAGAAGACAGAAAACGTTAGCGCGCAGTGGGACAGCAGGAAGATGCGCTGGTGCTGGGAGGGGAACAGCTGTCCGCGGGCAGCGCTGGTGTGTAAAAGCAGATCACTGACAGCTCTCATTGTGCGCAGCTGCCCGTGCGGGGGCGGAACCACAGACCCGCTGTCGATCCCAAATCGACAGAGCCGGCATTATGTTTGACTAAGGCCGTTCCCTGGACCTCAAATACAAGAGTGAATGTGGAGAGTGACCAGAGGCTTTAAAACTAGGGGCCTTTATGGCTGACTAAAGGAGCTAAGCATCTGGACCCCTGGACCCCTGCTTCCACCGCCTGAGAGAAGGGTACCCCCCATTCAGTCTGGCAGCAAATAGAGGTTCCCCAGCAAAGACATCTCCCTGTGTTTGCCTTTTCCCCGGGCAACTCCTCCATCCCCCTTCAATGAGAAAACAACCCACTGTCCTTCAACACCCCGCGGCAATGAATGAACAGCATGTATGTGCAGATTCCTACGGCTCCCCAGACCATAACGGATCATTGAAAGATGCCACCAACATGTCCCAATGTACTGGATGAGGGAGCATCAGGCAAAACACACAACCAAGACTGGAACCAAGACAAATGAAAACTCTATCGCAAATAACTCAAAGGCAAAAGAGGGGGACCATCAGGGTTTTCTTTATTAAATTCATTATAGAAAAAGCCACCTGCAAGGCAACAAAGGGCACCATAAGCCACCCTCCGGCAGGCTCCTTGAAGAAGCTCTTTGCCGACCAGGACTCAAAGCGTTAGAACTCATTTTCCCTGGCTTTTCTCAGAGCAGTATAAGCAAAGACACTGACTGGAAGCAACACTGGCAAGAAAAATGTTGCCAAATTAGGACATCCTGTTAAGAAAACCTCTGGTGGACCAGGAAGAAAGAAGAGGAGTAAGATGGCTCATCTCATGGACTTGGGGACTCACTAGGACAGACCCAAGAGCCTCCTTAGTGGCAGAGCAGAGCTGAAGGGATGATCCATTTACTAAACATCTCCTGGCTGACCTGCCAAGCCAAACTTGTCATGTCGCTCTGTCCCAGAGCCTCTTCACGAAAAATGGAGAAACACAATTGTTTAGGAAAGCTTCTGAGTTGCTAAAATGTTTCTATACTGGGATTTTTTGTTATGTTACAGAAGACAGATCATAGCACTGGAAAAGCATGTGTAAAATACAGATCCATTACAAAAAGTACTTACCACCCAGATGACATTGGATGTTTTTAGTCTGCTGATCTCTATCTGAAAAACCATTTTTAATTCCTTATGGTAAGTAAGACTGTGGACACTCCACTGTAAATGCAGACATTGCTGTGTAGAATTGATGGACACTTTCAGGGATTCAGGGGTCAACGGTAAAGGTTCAGACAAGACTGAAAAACCAAAACAAGATATGAAATAAGACTTAATAGGAGTGTGAACAATAGATAATTATTGTTCAATATCACCACTGTTTAGCTTTAAAAAATACCACTGACATGAGCACCCTAGAATCAGACACCTTGAAAGGCTGGAAGGGAATTGAGAAATTACTTGGCAGATGAAGAAATTAAGGCCTAGAAGCATGAAATGGCATTAACAGTTAAACAAACAACACAAACAATAAACAATAATTAAATTAAACAAATAACATAAATTAATTTAACAATGAAACAATAAAGAACAGTTTATTGGTCAATATAATTGGTTTGGACATTTACAGCAAGGCCAAACAAAGAAGCAGGAATTTTTGCTATAATTTCATACTTCTGGAAGTTGAAATGAAAGTAATTTTTGAAAGCCAATATTTTGTTGTTTATTATATAGTTATAAAGCAGGAGCGTTATCCCACCTCAACGCACAGAACTTACAATGCCTCTGGCAAAAATTCACTGAACTCTGTGGATAAGATCAGCACCGGCAACATGCTAGGCATTCAGTGTGAGATGAAATAATCCTGACGAGGTTCCTAACTCAAGAAGACATCTATTGGAGAGATACAACTGACTCAGGAAACAAGGAGAGCCTGCAAGCTTAGAGTGTTGACTGGTGTGACAGAGCCTGTAAAAGAAGACAGATTCAAACAGAAAGAGACGTGCAAGGGTCAGCGGGCCTGGGAAACAGCCCAGACTGTGGATGGGCCTGATGGGGTGAGTTAAGTCATTGCCAATCCTTAGAGAAGAGAAGGGAAGAGAAGAGAAGAGAAGAGAAGAGAAGAGAAGAGAAGAGAAGAGAAGAGAAGAGCACCCCTTTCCACTAACGCAGAGGAAATGCCCCACAGACGCCAAAGGAACTGTGTGTTGCTGAGTCAGCTGGTTTTACTGGCTGGTTTGAGGGGGTCCGAAGAAACGGAGAATGGCGCCGAGGAATTGCAACGATTAAGACTGTTGATGAAGTCAGCGGGTGCCTGAGAGCCCGGGGGATAGCAGACGCCATCTGTAAGCATTGGTTTTTCTAACAGGAGACTTGGAAAGATGGAAGAGCTGGTCCTTTAGGGTATAAGGAGGGGGATATTTTTAATCATTGTGGAGCCAATGGCACCGGAGAAAGCAGGGTGCGGGCAACATCATCCCGTCTTTTCCTAACCCTTGTTCACTTTGCCTGTATGGCGGTTTGCTCTTGTTGGTCTCACTCTAGGTTCAATTTTTCTGAAGCACAGAGGTTTATGCCTACGTATCTTTGAATGGACTCTTGTCTCCAGCACTTGGCACAACGTCTCATCCATAGCTGCTCTCAAACTACAGAGATCCAAGATCTCCACGAGGTCTTAAGTGCCCGACATGCAACTCCTCACTTAACACCTTGACGTGTCCTTCTGGGCGACCTCTCCTCCCTCTGGCTGCTTCCCTAAGCCCCAGTTTGAGCACTGATCACAGAGGGCTGTGATCGCCTGTTGTGTGCTTGTCTCCCCCTAGACCGTGAGCTAAACAAGGGTGAGATTAAGACTCATTCAGCTCAGCGAAGCCAGGGCCAGCAATGCACCTGTCACGGCTCCAACACGCAGCGACTGGTTGCTGAATGAATGAGTTCACTACCAGTACCCACTTTATTTTCGGAAGCTCTAGAAAGCTACTGGATGATACGCAAGGCAAATGGAGAACTCTGTACATTGACCTACGTGGTCGGCAATGGTTGAGTGACTCAAGTGCTCCAGAGACATGAGGCAGTCAAAATAATTTGGTCGAAAGCCATCTAGGACTTCCTTGGGCCACAGCGGGAAATGCCAAGGTAAAGTCGGAGAGCTAAAGGGCCCTTAGAGGTGATTAAGTCTAATCCCATTATTTTTCAAATGAGGAAATGGAAGTTAAAAAGAAGGAAGTGACTTTCCCAAAACCACATAACTGGGTTTTGTGGTTCCCCAGGGTTCTTGGCCCTTGGCCCAGCGCTCTTCACATGACGCCGCACTGGAGCGCCGCCAGGAGGGGCGGGCCTGGGAATCAGACGGAGGGGGGCTCAGTCGCAGCCCCTCCTCCCACTGTCCCAGCCCAGCTGCTCTGTGTGGCCCCAGCACGACTTGAGGAAATAAACTGTGGCCCATTCATTCATAAGACAGGACAGCGTGACGATATTAAACAAAATGTTATTCTAGAAGAACATTTCCCATCAAAGGTAAAAACTCTCATTGTGTGTTGTAGTCATCATCTTAATAAGTATACACTAAAGTATGTAAACATGTACCTATTAAAGTATATATTAAAGTATATATACTTTAATAAGTATATGTAGTGTATTTTCCCAGTATCTATACTTATGCTATAGATAGTAAATATACTTTATACTACATATTATTTATGTACTTTAACAAGTACATATATATACTTGTTAAAGTACATAAAAAGTATATATACACACATACACACTTAAGTATAAATACTCCCAGTACATATAGTATAACTTCGCTTCTATAAAAATTTACATACTCGTATTTTTATCTCTCTCTGTCTGTACGTACAAGAAACTGGGGGAAAATGCACCCAAATGCTACAGTCACGACCTCTGTCTGAGGGAGGCGCGAGCCCAAGGCTGACCAAAGTGCTCGGCAGCAGCTAGGCCGCCTGCAAGGGAGTCTCTCACACCTGAGCCTGGCTGCGCCATCCAGGGGGAAGACTACTAGTTTGAGTGGGGAGGTTTGGTAGCTACTTGTCAGGTGCAGCGAAAACTAAGACAAGGAATCCAAACAGAGCAGGTGAGGCCAAACACAGGATTCCTTAGCGAAGCAGGCATGAAAGAGAAAGCTGGAAGCGGAAACAAAGACCACGAGAGGAAAGCAGGTTAAGTGCCGTCCGACCGAAGCACAAGGCGCTGAGAGAGGAGCAGCGGAGCTGCTGAGCACCCAAGCACAAGGCGCTGAGAGGGGAGCAGCGGAGCTGCTGAGCACACAGTTGGGTAAGGAGAGGGCACACAGCAAGCGCGCGCTGGGTCAGATGGTGAGACGTCACCAGGGAGCGAGCTGGCCCCAAAACTTGGTGGAGCGCCTGGGGTTTTCTGGAGAGTGGGGTCGGGGCCAAGGGCCCAGCTGTGTCATGCTGACGTGTTAGTGAGGTGGGTGGCGGAGGGTACACCTACTACCAGTGAGACAGTCCGATTCCCACCATTCAGCTCCAGATCAGAGATGACACCAACAGTCAACCCATCATCGTTAAGAAGCCATTAAAGTAGCATTTTTTCACGTACCCCGCACCTGAAAGAACTAAACCTAGACCTAAAGAATATCAGAGAGAAAATTAAACTGTTAGCAGAACAAAATCTCCTTTTTCATTTCCAAATATCTTTTCACAGAGTTTTAAGGGAATGTTGGAAAATTCTATGGATGTTTCTTGCAAATATCACTTTCATGACTCCACGGACAGGAACTGCGTGGTAACTGCAGGAAACGCAAGCCTGCTGTCCCTCTGCCTTATGAAGGGAGCGTGGGGATGCGTAGACAGGGAGCCAGAGGAGCGGAAAGCTTTGTGAAACACAGGACGCAGCAACAGACCCTTCCTAAACCAACAGAAACTCTCTCGGGCCTAAGAATCTACCTTTGAACTGGCTCAAAGAATAATCAAAGTATCCCTAAACATTTTAGAAGTATTGAATTCTTATTGACTTCATTTATATAGTTAATTTATTTCAAAACACCCTCCCTGGGGGAGTGGCTAAGCAACAAGCACTATTTAAAAAATCCATAAATGGCATCTCAGTACCGAGTGGTACTGTCTTGCAGCTAATAGCCTCTCAGTGAACACACCTGAGGGATGTTGCAACTGTTATAACTCAGCGCCGGCCCCCGGGCTGCTCCGCCCACCTCTCCCCGGCAAGATGCAGAAGGAACTCTCCAGGCCACGGTTGGTTTCGATATATCGGCCTGAGGACCTGCAGGGCAGGGTCCACTCACAAATGCCCTAGTACCCAGAAAGTTGGAGCCAAAGGGTGGCTCATTAGGATGAGCCATCAAGCTCTGGAAGGCCATGACTAAGGTAACTATTGCAACTCATCAGTTCGATATAATTTAAGGAGAAAAATAGAACTGTGCAACTTTCCTTCAGAGCAGTCAGTCACCTCATTTTTCCTCTATGTGATTTTTTTCTTTATCACCCTTTCCACTTCTTACCTTCACTGTGGCAAGTTCTCAAGGACAGCAACGCCAGGAGGAATGTCGCCTGAAGGGCTGCCAAGGGAGCCATAGGTCCCGGTTCCTGAAAAGGTAAATCACCCAGAGGGGAAATCTCATTGAATGTGAGCTTGGAGCAGGTTTCTTTGAGCCAACTGTGGCAGACAGTGGCGTTAAAGCTGCCCATTCTTCTCTCCCCCCTGCATCCTCTCCCCTCGTCATGTGACTCTGGAGTCCCAACCCAGTAAGAACAGCGTGCACCCCCACTCCACGGGACTTGCTTTGGCCATCATGAGGCCGCAGTGACAGTGCGCTAGCTTGGCGCTGACGCCTTAAATGACTTTGTGTGTTTCTGTGTGCTCTCTTGCATTTCCACTTTTGGCATGAAAAGAACATTCCTGGGCTACCCCACTGGAGCCACGCGGAAGGTGGAGCTGAGTCACCCAGCTGGGGCGCCCGGCTCTGCTGGAGGCCTGCCACACGCCCGCCAGGACCAGCTGCTCCCAGGCAGGGAGCAGGCTCTTACTGCTCTCTGCCCCTTAGGCTGTGCAGTGAGCGATACCGGATGCCCCAGTTTCTTCAAACCAGACAAAGGTTGGCAAAGGAAGGCAAAGGAAGGCAAAGCAGGGAGACAAATTTAAATAAGAAACAGACTGATTGGCAACAGAACAGAGACTAGTCTGAAAAGGGCTAAATCTGAATTAATGACTTAATGACTTATCCGGGACTCATCTTCCCTGTCTCCCTCATTAAAATGGCACCTGGGAAGGGAGAGCACATTTTATCTACAAAGACAGTGCTTCATTGTTCAAAATGATTTCCGGTTTTCCTCGCCTTCTGAAAGGGTTTTAAACTACAAGCCAAAGAGGGTCACTGATTCATCAGGTCCTTCGGCCATGGGACAATCTGAGGGCACAAGAATGAGGCTGGATGACTTCAAGAATGTCAATGAGCTTTTAATTCACCAATAAATGTGTCAGTCAGGGGAAGCACGGAATTTCACTCTTTTACTTCAAATTCTGACTCATCAAGAAGCAATGAAACAATTCAAGCTCAAAACTGGCCTCTGTCTAACCACCTGGATTTCATCAAACTCTAGGGAGTCAGCGAACCAGATCATCACTTCACACCACCCGCAGCCTCTGTTTTTTCATAGGATTTGGAGGTAAACGGGAACAACAGCGAAGACAGGAAAACGGCAAACCAAACCACCACTTGCTTGGCCGTGGCCAAGCCTGCTTGCAGGTGAGCTGAGCCCAACTGCAATGCATGCAGAAGTCCGTAAGCGACAATTTTGGTTCATATTCTTTAAGCTCTGCTTTCTGCTACTTGCATTTGGCCAACAGGTCATTTGCATCTCTCTAAAATCTTTACTTACAATTTCACACTGGTTCCCATGACAACTGGGTGGGCCGGGGAACTGATTCAAGAGAAAATAGTGTCTGCTGGGAACCAAAGGGAAGGCAAAGGAAAAGTGAAAGCGAGTGTCTGGCGCTCACTGTGCAGTTTAAATGCCTGTCCAGTCCCGGCCCGAGTTTACCTGCGTCACCCGAGGGAGGCCAGGTGCCGCCATGGCAAGGGAATCTCATCCCGCAAATTTAAAGCAGGTCATTCAGGAGGTGATGTAGGTGCGTAGCCTCATGTGCTCTTTATAAAAAGCCTATTTTAAATGTTTCTAAAAATTCAGACTTCTAGCAAATGAAATATTTCACATGTTGCACAAAGTAAGTAACAGGGGTAGAGAGGCATAAAACTAAAAGCCAGGGGCCACCTACCCATACAGGGTAACCAGAAGTTAAAGAAGGAAAGATGTTGCACAACACAACTGAACTACGGTGTGCTAAAGAGCGCACTTCCATGGTCTGGGTGTGGCAGGAAAGCCCTGGGGGATCACCAGGACAGTCTTCCTGGAAGCCCTGCCTGTCGCCCCACACACATCGGTGCTGAGCCCGAGGTCAGCGTCAGCGCCGTTTGGGTTTACTGTCTTCATTCCCACCAGTTCTGACGCCCCGTCTTACACACGCCGGGCCGGTGGCCCCCAGGACACCATGGTCCCTGCCCGCACACGAGCAAAGCGGGTGTTCTCTCCCACGGTGCGCCCTGCAGAAGGACCGCAAGGCCAGCTGTTGTCTGGAAACCTGGTAAAATCGACCAGGTTCACCCAAAACTTGCAGAACGAGCCTTGGCAGCTGGAACATCCCAAGGGCACACGTGGAGTCCCTTTGGGAAACCGCCCCATGAACAGTTTTCCAGAGGCTCACGCTGTGGGGAAGAGCACTGAGCCCGAGGGCCCAGGGCCGATGGCTGCAAGCCTCAGGTGACTGAGTGCATGACCCCCGTGGTCCCCCCCCCCCCCCCGCCACACCTCACACATAAATCCCCCTCGCGTTTCGGGTGCCGTGCCGGGTGCGCCAGCTGCTTTCAGATGAGACCCTGAGGAACTCATTGGCAAGCCTGGAGGTGCGGGAGCGACCTGTGCAAAGGTCCTGGGAGAGGGGAGAGTACTCGGCAGAGTCAGGGACAAAGAGCCAGGGGTGGCAAGAGCGAGGAAGTGAGGGGTGGTGGGCGGTGAGTTGTGGGGGCAGGCAGAGAGGGGGACAAAGCGGGGACACATTCCTGGAAGTGAGGCTTCTGCTCCGGGGAAGACGGCAGCCACGCGAGAACTTCAAGCAGGGGAATAACGTGGTCTAAATGAGAGCGAGCAGGGAGGACCCAGGATGGAGGAGAGGCTGGAGGGGTGGCAGCGTGGCGGGGGGGGGCGGGGGTTGGGCGTTAGGGGCCACAGCAGTGGTCTGCGGAGGACTACACTGGCTTAGGCCAGGGTGATGGCCGTAGCGGCCGGCTCCCAAAGGGACCGCAAGACAGGGCTAGCAGGGCGGGGGTGGTGGCAAAGTAACACATCATAGATGGCTCTGGGGATATCGGCTGGGCCCCAGGGGAATGGAATTACCTTCAATAGAGACACAGGGGGACAGATGAAGCAGGCTGTATCAGGGGCTCGATTTGCCACGTGTTTAAACTGAGATGAAGATACCAAGGAGCCCCCTGGATGCAAGATAGGAGTTCGTGGGAGGGGTCCTGGCCCCGGCATACAAATTCAGGTGCACTCCTAGAGTCAAGACAAGTACAGATGGAAAAGAGACAGGCGGCATAGAGCTCGGGGGAGCCCCACGCCCTGTGCCGCCCAACCTCACGCAGACCAAAACCCAGATCCAGGATTAGGCCCGGCTTTCCTGCCTCACCCCCAGGCCAAGGGCTGGAGAGCCTCTGGGCAGCAGGGGCGCCTTCCCCCGCTGCCCTCAGGCGCACGCAGCGGGTCCTCCAAAGCTCCGTGTCTGACAGGGAAGAGGCCACCCAGCCCTCCCACTCATTCAACAGGCTTCCTTCTCGCCCCACAGCTGTCCGTGAGGGGCGTTGCCACTTCCAGTCTCCAGTAAGAGAAGAAAGTCAGGGAAGCATGAAGTAGCAGAATCCAGAAAGGAAAAATGCTTTCCTGCCTCATCCGCACTCCTTGGTCCTGTCCCCAAATCTACTCTTTGTTTTGCTCTATATTTCAGGTCTCCGTCATTCCTGACTAGACTATGAGTGGTTTGATCTCTCTCCCTACTCTCTGACACAGGCCCAGAACATATTGGCCACCCAGTAAATATCTGGCAAATAAATAAAAAACTTGTAGCAATTTTCTCACATTCTCTCTTTGCTTTCAGTTTTAAAGTAGATTCTTTTCCTGGCCCCTCTGCCTTTTCTGTGGCCAACTATTGCCTAATTCACAGTCTTTCATTGACATTTCTTTTCTAGGAGGGAACAGGGAGGGAAGAAAAGAAAAACCACCCACTTCTTTTGCAGAAAGAACTTCTCATTCAAATCTTGTCTCTTGGCAGAATGAAAATGCCCTCGACTACAAGTACAAGTACTACATGCAAAAAGAAACACTGCTGTTGAAAAGGGTGTCAGTCTGCCCTTCTTCGTCAGCACTCCTTGTTTGGTCTTTACTGAAATATTTATTCCCAAGAAGTTACTCCACTGCAAATAATCCCTGTGAGAAGCAGTCTGATCAATCACTTGCTTCCTGAGAACATGGGTGTGTTGCTAAACTCCCCAGACTGGCTGGGTGCCTGAAAATGTCGTAGGCACATACTGTCTGAAAGAAAGAAGCCGTTCACACAGGGCGCGTGCTGGGATGTGTGTACCCTGGGAGAGAAGCCACCGTGACTCTCTGTATAATCTGTCCGAGCACGGTGTGAATGCCACAAGCCATAAAAATAAAGACTGCTGCACTGATTAAATATCTTAAAATATTTAGTGCTATAATTGGACCAACAACAAACAGAGCAACAGTTTGAATACTTAAGGCAAAGCGTTACCATCCCTACTACATAAGGAGCTCTTAGAAACCAAGAAGAAAAAGACAAGCTACCCTGTAGAAACCCTTGTAAATAGCATGAATATGTAATTCATAAAGAAGAAGGAATAGTTAGAACCAAGAGAGAAGAACTAAAAACTGGATGCTATCACCAATAATTAACTAATGCAAGTTAAAGCAGTAATTGTGTGTGTATCACTTGGGTGTGTGGTGTCCTGTTGCAAAGCTTAAAAAGGTCTTACAATCCAGTATTAGTAAGAGTTTGAAGAAGCAGGTATTGTTCCTCACTGATGGTCAAAAAGCACAAACTTAAAATGACTGTTGGCTTGGCACTAGTTAAATATTAATTTTAGTATTTATTACCTCTGATTCAGAAATATTATCTCTGGAATTTTGTCCTACAGATCGTGTGTATTTGTGTGTAGTGTTCATTTATATATACAAAATAGACTTTTTAAAGAATATTCATTGTAGTGTTTATGTTGAGAAAAAAGCAAAAAAAAATCTTAGTACATCAAAAAGAACTATAAACTATAGTTATGTTGCATTTTTACAAAGGAGTACTATGCAACTGTTAAAAAGAATGAAATAATATATGAACCGGCATGGAAGACTGTCCAAAACGTACTGAATGGAAAAGCCAGTTTCAGAACAGTGTGCCCAGAAAACCACCTCCGGGGGCGAAGCGCTGAGACGATGCACCTGGGCCCGCGAGTGTCCTTCAGAGGAACCAACTGCAGGAGCCCCGCTGACTCCGCCTCCAGGCTGCCCGCAGGGACTGCCTGCCTGTTCACACCGAAGCCCGCGGTCCCACCGCCGCTTCCAGTCCAGCTGAGCCTTTTCTGCCCAGCGTGGGTCTCCTCTAATCGGCAGCCTCTGATCAAGGAATTCAGATCTAAGATTAGAATTTGGTGTTATATTCAGCGCTCTCACTACCGCTCTTTCCTTAGGAAGAAAAGAAAAGAAAGGGAAAGGAAGGGAAGGAAAGAAAGGAAGAAGGAAAGAAAGGAGGGAGGGAGGGAGGAAGGAAGGAAAGGGAAAAAAAGGGAGGAAGAAAGAAAACAATTATAATTCTTTAACATATAATATTAAAAGAAAGCAATTTGCGATTCCTGTTCAAACACATTTATCCTCAGAGGAAATACTGTGGCCACAGGAATTAATTTTAAATATCAGTGGAAAACTATACACCGAAGGGTGGATGAAAGGCTAACAGCACTGACATCTCCCCTGAGCCTGTTAGAAATGTGAAACACTAGGTCACCTCACAGGCCTCCTGGCTGTAAATGTGCATTTAAACAAGCTCCCTGAAGAGATTCACAGGCACACTGAAGCTTGAGAAACACTGCTATCTATATTCATTATTTATGGCATATTTTTGTCTCCTCGGATACTATCGATGTACACAATATAAACATTTATTCATTCCTTCTATGGCAGTAATCCCAGCGGGCGCATGTTGGGTGCTAACTCTCTGTCAGGCGCTTTGCTGCGCGATTTACACACATTCGTTCCCCACCAGCCTATTGAAGAGATTCTATTATCATCTCCATACACAGTCAAGGACATTAAGGCTGGGAAGGGTTACAAGTCACTTTCACAGAAGTCGGCACAGCTAACGTGGAACTTGAAACCAGGAAAGTCCCTCCCCTAAAGTCAGCACCTTCACATGGCACCTCTTCCTCCAAGCTCAGAGCTCACACTGGATTTGCACACTGAGGCATAAAAAAATCACGGACAATGATAAGCCCAGGAGAATCCTCAGAAAAATTTCAACAGGATTGTACTAGACTTGACAAGCTATTTATAAAGTTTACACAAAAGAGAAAATGTATAAGAATCATTTCTAAAATTTTTTAAAAAGTACAAATAGGTGCCAATAGGTATAAAATACTATAAAGCTGTAGCATTTAACATAGGACGGTACTGACCTAAAAAGAGATAGAAAAAGATCAGTGAAACACAGTAAAGTTCAGAAACAGGCCCTTGTATAAGCAGAAGTTTATTTTACTATAAAAACAGGATTTCAAGTGAGTGGGGAAAAAAGATGGATGACTAAATAAATTGCTATCAAGATAACTCTAGAAAGAATTGTTAATCCTTATTTTTCACCTTAAACAAAAGTATGATATTGTAAAGAACTAAATGTAAAAAAACTAAATTCTGTATTAGGAGACAAGATAATTTTAGGTAAAAAAACAAAAACAAAAGACCTTCATAAACAAAACAAAGCACAGAAATCATGAGACTGCAGAGTGGATTACACAGACATTTGAAATTTCTGTGCAGCCAAAGAGAGCTGAAAATAAAATATTATAAATAGATGAACAAAATGTAGTGTATTACACACAAAGAATAAAATTCTGATACCTGGATGAGCCTTTAGGACATTTTCCTACGTGAAACAAACCAGTCACAAAAAAGACAAATCCTTATATGAGGTACCTGGAAGTAGCCAAATTCACAGAGACCGAAAATAGAATGTTGGTTGCCAGGGGCGGGGAGGAGGTGGGGGAAACAGGAAGTCGCTCTTTAATGGGTCCAGAGATTCAGTTTACCAAGATGAAAAGAATTTTGGAAAAGGATGGCGGTAATGGTTGCAAAACAATATGAATACCTTGTTGGGTTTCACTAATTTACTAGATTTAAAATTTTAAATAAAAAAAAAGAGACAGCTGATATCAGGAAGGATGAGGAGAAGCGATTCTTGTGCATCCAGTGTGAATTAGTACCTGCTCTGGGGACAGTGTTGCAGTTTGAAGGGCTGTATCTAGGCAGTTGAAAAACAAACCCTTTGATGCAGGAATATTTTAGGATTCTATTCTACAGAAATGCCCAGGCTTAAGCACAAAGATGAATGCACTATCTTCCCTGAAGTACTGTTGCTAATGCAGAACAACTTTAAATGACCCAAGTGCCCATTAATAAGGGAAAGGGTGGATCCAGTGTTTTTCTGTTTTAGAATAAAATGTAGCCATTACCAAAAAGAGGTCCTTACAGATGTGGGAAGATCTCTAAAGCTTGGGAGTGAAAGGGGAAGCTGCACAATTTACATATATTAAAACATATGTGTATATATACACATAATGCAAATGTATAGAAAAGGAAAAATCTTGGAATGGTATATACCAAACTTAGTCGTCCCTTCTCTGTGTGCATGGAGGAGTGAGGAGGGTACTTACACAATTCATTCCATGTGCTTTTCTATTGTTTGAGAATGTATTCGGCTATTATTTGTATTATATTAAAAGTATGAAAACTAAAAAGAAAAAACAAAGACCGTGGAGTACAGAAATGCTGAAAACTGATAGACCCACAGTGACGGAGGGAGGAGGGCTGGGAGACCGAGGACACAGCTGTGGGACGAGGCTCGGTGCCGCTCCGAGGAAGGCGCTTCAAGGCAGGGCACTCCTCGCAAGATTCTATTTATTTATACTTCCCACTTCATCTCTTTCTTTTTACAGTCAAGGAGGCCCTGCTCCCCCCCGGGGAAGGAGGGCCAGGCCCAGGTCCTGCAGGGGAGCCCGATGGCACTCACAAAGGTCCCCCCCCCAGCCCCCGCGAAGCCCCAGCCTGGTTCCCGAAAGAAAGCTCACTCCTTCCTCCCGTCAGCTGCCCCTGCCACACAGTCCTTTTTCAAAAGCAGGATACATCATTTTTCTGCTTTAGTTCCTTTTTCAAGACAAGAGGGTTATGAGGGCGTGAGAGACGCTGGGGCACCTCCGTGCATCCTGGTAGCTGTCCCTGGTCTTTCAGATTGAAGAGCGGAGAGCTGGTAAGGGAGTGTCCTTAGACACACTTGCTGGGACAGCCGGTGGCAGAACTGGGACCAAGATGAAAGTCACAAGGGGGGAGTTACAGCTGAGTTAGCCCTGTGCTGCCATGGCACCTTGGGGGCGGGCTCCCCACCACTGCAGGTACTCAGACAGCGCTGGGTGCCCGCTGGCTGCGGGGGGAGACAGCCCCCGAGCACGCCCTGAGCGTCCTGAATGGACAGCGAAGCTTGGAGTCCAGTGCTTGGAAAGTGCCAGAAAGGACTGGGAGGCACTGCTGCATTGGGGAACCCCTGGCTGCTGTGACCATTTGAAGCCCTTCAGCCGCACGGGTCTCGCAGTGAACTGAACCGCAACCCAGGAGAGCGACAAAGCTGAGCACGCACGAAACACCAATCCCAGGACCCATCCAAACAGGGTCCTACCTTTGCGGCACAGCAGAGTGGCAATAAGCAAACTCCAAAGTCAGATCTTGACTCTGTCACCTGCTGGCTGTGTGACCATGCACAAGTCACTTCAGCTCGCTCGGTCTCCTCATGGATAAAGTGAGAATGGCAAAACTAGTACCTACGTCACTGGTGAAGATTCAGTGAGGAAGCGTATGTAACCTACCTCCAACAGTACCTGGCCCGTGTAGCAAGTGTGAACCATCACTCTTTCGCAGACGAGGAAACTGAGGTTAAGGCGCTGACCCAAGTCCCAAAGTCAGTTTTAGGCTTGGGAACAGGACCGAAAGCTTCTTTCCCGCTGGCCCCAATTAAATACACCGCATTCGGTTCCTTCCTAGCCAGTGTTTACATTACCCCTACCTTTACTCCTGCTTGAGCTGGAGAATAAACTTGTCCACAAAGTGTCTTCAGGCTTATCGTTTATAAAGCGGCCTTTCTCCCAGCAAGCAGGATGGGCGGATGGGCGGATGGAGGACTATCAGGAAATGAACCTCTGAGTCAGGAGCAAAAGAAAAACCCTGGACTCAGAGATTTCAGCGCCGCCACAACCAGCTCTATGGCCGTGGACAAGTTCCCGAACACGTCCATCCCAGGACTATCTATAAAAGGCGGATGGGGGAGCTTAGAAACGCGAGGCTCCTGCTGCCCCACCTGTCAGCTCCGTGCTGCCTCCGTTCACGCGGCGGAGAACCGGAGCGGGTGCCCGTCGGTCCCGGACGCCAGCATCGCCGAGAAGCGCGGGCTCCACCTGCGGGGAGCGCCGCCCACTGCCCGGTGTCAACGGAGACCGAGGGGGTGGAATCGCGATTCCGAGCCGAGTGGACCGTCCGCGGGAGCTGCTGGTGGGCGAGGGGGGGGTCTGGGGACGACTGCGAACCCCCTTGGCGGTGTGTCGGGAGAAGCGCAAGTGGCTCAAGAGACGTTCACAGCATTCCCACCACTTGGGGAAGCGGCAGTGGGGCGGGGAACGGAAGCGCGGGGAAGGACACCTGGCGGCCGGGCGGCGTGCGCTCCGGAAAAAGTTAGCCCTTCAGTGCTCCGCGCCGGGTGGGCGGGTCAGCGGCGCGGACTCTCGCAGCCCCGTCTCCCCGCAGATCAAAGCGAGCGCGGGGCGGGGGCGGCGAGGTTGCCCGAGTCTCCGCCGCGCGCGCCGGGTCCGCGATCGGGAGACGGACCGAGAGCGGCGGGGCCGGTACTCACCCCGCGGGCCGGGGCTCCGCGAGCCGGACGCGTCCTCCGCGGCGCGGGTGGCGGGTGGCGGTGGCGGGTGAGGACACCGGGGAGGCGGCCGGGCGCCCGGGCTATGAATCAGCCGCGGGACGGGCGCCGAGGGGCGGGAGTTACGGGAAAGCCGCGGGGGAGGGCCGAGGGCCGAAGACTTTTGCAATTTCCCGTCTAGCTGCGCACTCTTGGCACCCCTGGGACCCGCAGGAATTCGCCTCCCTGTTCCCGGGGGAAGGGGATAGGTCCCCGCGGGAGGACGAGGTGCGGCCCCGTCCTTGTGGGCCAGGCAGGGGCCGGTGGGGAAGGAAGTGGGAGAGGCCTGGGCAGGAAAGGTGCGAGCGCAACCTCGGCGCCCTTGACGGGACGCCGGGGAGGCGACAGGCCTGCGTTGGCCGGAGGAGCCTGCGGGCCACCTGCGATCCGCACCTGGGCAGAACCTGTGGGCTCCGTTTGCTGTTCCATCCAATAGTGTTTGCACGTATTTCTAGCCTCCGGGTCCTCGTTCCATCAAGAAACTCCCTGTCGACCTGCTGCCCCATGGCTTACTTTTCCTCTAACAAGTGCCACTTATCTTTGAGCTTCACATTTCAAATTCAGCACCTTTCAAATACATATTTGCCCTCTCGATGGTTGTGTGATGGACTTTCGAGAACCACGTCGACTCTGCAGCTGGTGCGGAACCTCAACCCCGACGCTTCCTCAGCAGCTGCCGCCCGGAGAGGACAGCGCGGGCGCAGGGGTCTCCGAGGCTGGCTGCTGGCACTGCTCGCGGCCGGCTAAGCCCGCTCTGCTTCGGAGTCGGGACCCTGGAAAGCATCACAAATGGCTGGGGCGGTGGTGGGGAGGGGTCCAAGGGTGACGGAGAGGGATGGCCGGTGAATCAATCCTGCATTGACTGGATGGCCCAAATTAATGTGAGGATTACTCCAAATGTTACTTTCATGTTTGACCATACTTTTGGTTCCCCCCGAATGTCTCCGCAGGAAAAGACGTTCTCTTTAATGTCCGAATACACTTAAAACGCGATGGTGACACGAAGACTCTGGTGCATAGTAAATATTTGATGATAATGAAGAGAAACTACTTTTGTCTAAGTCCATGGGTGCTCCTTTGCCACACCTCCCATTACTTCAAGAGCCGGAAAGGGCCCATTAGTTTAGCCATTTGCATGGCGGTGGACAGTGGCAAACCAGGTCCCAACAATGAGAAAGGCTTTTTGACTCTATTTCACAGAGTGAAAAAGAAAAAGAAAAAAGTGACTTTCTTCTTGATAGAAAGAGTTCATAGGGGTATCTCCTAGAGCAGGTAAGACGCCAAATAAAAATGTTGAGTGTGAACAGTTTCTACAAAGTGAGTCTCCCCATACTTTGGTCTGCTATGACAACAGAAGGAAACTAAGGTGCAAAAAAAAAAAAAAAAAAATCAATCAATCAGTCAATCAATCAATTAATGCCTTCGGTGTGAAGCCTCAGGAGCTCCCGGAGCAAGAGGCAGGCCCCTGCGGACTGGTCCCTGCAGCCCTAACGAGCGAGGGAACCCATATGGGAGCGTTGTCCCGCTGGCTGCAGGCGCGCGCATTCCCAATGCCGTCCCGCCAGGGTCTAGCGAGTTTATGTGGAGGCCTCATGGGCGCAGCGAAGTACACCATCCAGTTGGTCTCAGTAACACATTGCCTCCCAAGGCAGCGTCCTTTGTAGTTTTCCCGTAAGGAAACGGGAAGGGACGAGGCGCCTCTGCCTGCCTGGGTCCAGGTCTGGGGTCAGGCGGGAGTCACGACCTCCCAATGACCTCTTCCAACAGGTGCCCGCATAAAATTCAGTTATCCTGTGCACCGGTCCTCATTTCCCTTTGTACCCCTTTCTAGAGTCTGGTGGCTCTAGTACTTGCAAATTTGTGCTCATACCCTTAGGATGGCGGGGTGAATAGTGTCCTCCAAAAATTCATGTCCACCCAGAACCTCAGAATAATATGAGCTAATGAAAATATTGTTTTTGCAGATTTAAGTGAAGAGAGATAGGTCCTGCCGGGTTAATTCGATGACTGCTGTCCTCACCGGAAGAGGGCAATTTGGACACGGACCCTCGGGAAGAATACCACGCGACCACCGCAGCAGAGACTGGCGGTATTCTGCATCAAGCCCAGGAGCGCCGAGGATTGCTGGGGGTCAGCAGACCTTAGGGGAAAGGCACGGACCCCCTCCTGCCCCGCCACCCCCGCCGCCCTTCGGGAGGCGCTCGCCTGCCTTCGCCTCGATTTCAGACGGTAGCAGTCTAGAACTGTGAGAAATCAAATTCCTGTCATTTTTAAGCCACTTAATTTGCAGTAATTTGTAACAGCATCTCTAGCACAGTGTGTATGTGAGATATATATTCTAAAAGTTACTTTTCACAATGAGCCTGAAAATAGGTGAACTGAGGAAGATGAAACATACCGGCTGCTTATTCAGCCAAGGACTGAAGTGCCCTGATGTTCCCTCTTGCTTTTGATTCCAGGGGCACAAGCCTCCCTAAGGTCTCCCATTTCCCTGACTCCCTTTTCTGTCACCTTCTCGGGTTTCTTGTTCTCTGCGGGTCCCTTAGATGCTGGCGTGTCCGGGGCTCCATCCTTGACCTCGTTCCGGAATCCAGTCTCCCCAGTGACCGCAGGCGCGGTCCTGACTTCACGGTCGCAGGTGCACCAGGGGCCTGAAAGCCTTCCTTTCCGCTACAATCGTTTTCATCGGAACCCCAGACCAGCTTACTTGTACGACAAAATCAATAGGTCCAAGTTCAAACTCATCACTTTTTCCCATCGGATTCTCTTATATTATGTGAATGGCCCAAACTTTAACTTAGATCCCAAATCAAAAAACCTGGGAATGATCCTTGATCCATCCTCCGTCCTCCTCCATCCTCCACGGGAAATCTCACGTATGTAACTGTAATATTATAGGGGAGGCCCCAGTGGAATATGGCCCTAACCCTGTCTAACTTCTCAGCAATGGTTCTAAGACTGTCATTAGAGCATTGGCTATAACATTATATTGATATAGATATGGATATAGATATAGACATAAGTATAGCTATAAATATATGAAATCAGCTATTTAACTATGATTCTATTTGTTCAGCTACTACAAATATCTATAAGCACATGTTTGGCAATATTTGGTAACCAAACTGATTGAGCGTGAAGGAATTGGGAGTTTTCTGAAGAAAATGGCTTCATCAAATAAGTACTGGATGATGATTTACAATTATCCTTAGGGATAGTAATTATTTTTGGGGAGGGCATAGTGTCACATTCGATATGTTAAAGATTCGCTTTTAGCCTTAAAGTATGATGCTGTGATCATGATTGTTAGTGATAGTGGTATTATTTCTAAGAAAACTTAATGAAATTAAAATGTTATTTTGCATTGTGAAAAACCAAGTAGGCCTTCTGCGAATTTTTAAGTCTAAAATATATCATAATGCTTGATTAATTAAGAGATGTCTATCCCTTCCAAATATCCCCTTCCCCCACGAAAGGGTAGAGGGAGCCAGCAATCGCATGGAACTTTCACATTTAATGATTTCAGGGATTTCCCGTCATTACTTAATTACGAATGGCTTGCCTCCCAATGTCTGTAAATTTAAATGAGGTATAACATCATCATGAAGAGTTCTAAAGGAGTTTCTTGCTTGAAGTAGATATTACTTGAAGATTAACTGATGGATTGATTTTATACTTCTCTCCTTCTCCTAAGATATTGTAACTGTGTTCACACCTAGTTCTAGAAATCATCAGAAACCAGACAATGGAGAGAGCTTTTTTGGATCTTTTATTTTTTTCTCCCCTGGGCTTTAGGGAGAGTGTTGAAAATGTGTTTGTTTAGATAGTTGCTTTGATACTCTTGGCTGATGGTTATGAGAATTAATAAATATAGATGCAGTAGTTAATGCTACAAAAAAAAGAACATTAATACAGTGAGGGGGAAGTACTTCAGGGAGCAATTAGATGGGAACTTTGGGGACTTTTGAAAGGTATTTGCTAAGTTTGATCTAAATTACGTATAGCTGTATTTACATTTGTTTATGTTTTATTTTTTGTTGTATCTTCCCATTACCGTTTATCCCCCTTGTACTCCGCTCCACGCACAATTCCCACACTGTTGTCCGTGCCCATGAGTCCTTTTTCCTTTGTGCTCAGTCCCTCTTGTATTCATATTTGCAGACAGCATGTAGTGAGGACTCTAAAAAGTTCATTCTGACATTCTCTGCATTTTAATGCGACAGGAAGTGTTTAGCACACTTACATTCAAGGCAACTATTGATATGGTTGAGTTTAGCCTACCATTTTTCTATTTGTTTTCTGTTTTGTTTTCTCTTTTTTTTGTTCTTCTCGTTCTCCTTTCCTGCCTTCTTTTACATTATATAATTTTTTTTTAGAATTCAATTTTAATTAGCACTTTTTTTTGTTATTTTTCTTTGCAGGATCTTTGGTGTCTGCTCTATAAATTACAATATGCATCCTTATTTTTTACTGTTTCCTTGTCTTTGAATTTCCCCTGAACTTTGTTCGAATGTCAAAAACAAATTTTATTTGGAGTTACAGTAAGCCATATCTTTATCTTTCTGATTCCATTTGTGCTTAAGTGAATTATCTTTAGATTAAACTGAAAATTTCCTCAAGACATTCACTTTCATCTTCAGTCTTAGCTCCTTACTGGAGCCTCTTCCCTCCAGTTCTACCCCAACAGCAATTATGTTGTGCATTACCAAATATGATCAGGAGCTGCTGAGTCACTCTGGGCTAATGGGCAGGTAGTTTCCACACTCTCAAGACACTTTGTGGGGAACAGGCCAGGAATAAATGTTTATTCAAATTCCATGTAAAATAACCAAGCTAAACAAGAATAAGATGAAACACCTAAGAAGAGATATGTTACTAAATCAACGTTACTAGAGCTTGTAGCAAAAATAATTATAAGAATTTGTCTTCCTAGGATTTATTGATGAAGGTGTAAATGTTTTTCAAAAGGTTGATAATAGACAATTTTCTCTTGAAAATGCCACTCCTCCCTCCGTTATTAGAAAAAAAAAGAATATTTGC